TTTATAGAGGTTACGCTGGGTTCATTTTTATTATTAATTGTTTATATAGATTTTTCTTTTTTTTCAGATTAAAAATTATGATTGTTATAAAAATTTTTATTGCAAATAAAAATTAAATAATTGTAAAGATGACATCAAAAAATAAAAATTAATAAAAATAATAATAAATTTAATAATTAATAATAAATTTATTATTATTAAATAACTTTAATAAAACATTTTTTATAAATTGAAAATAAATTAGGTACGTTCTGCTGGTTAACAACACTTTCGAAAATCGGATCAAGTCGTAGAAGTTCGAGTAGGACACGAAGCCGCAAACAGACAGAACTTCGGTTAAATTCGTAGTCTCTCGGGAAAATCCGTGACTTTTAATATAAAGTTTTACAAAATGTGAAATAAGTATACGGATATATGTTATTTTTCTTACTATTTTGTGAAATTATTTATTATAATATTTCGTATTCTGTGAATTCATAAAGAAAATACTAATTTTTAAAATAAATATACTAATTCTTATTTCTTAAAATAATAGTTACTCTTAAATTCATTATATATTTTCATAAAAACTGTAGTAGTAATCAGTATAGGTGCACTTTTTCCCTAAATTGTAACATTTATATTAAACTCTAATATGAGTTTAATACTTAGTAGTATGAATTTTCTTTCAGTGTACGAGATAAAAATATAAAAAAGTAATTGTTTGGTATTTTTTATGTACGTGATTTTGTACATTCAGCAGGTGTTGAAAGTTTAAGTGAATTCCTCAGAGGTAAAGTTGTGTTATATTTTCTACTGTAAAGAACATTTTAATACACGTGTTGGACCAATTTTCTCAACAATTTCGGAAGTGAAACACTTATCAGGTATAATTGCGTTTTTCTGCAATTTCAAATGTTTAAAATAAAATTAACATAAAGCATATAATACTTTAATTATTGAGTGGGCAGCATAAATTCTAAGCAATAGCTTATACCTGGGGCAATTGTAAAAGTTTCATCTTTCATTTATTGAAATAAAAAGAAAATTTGTCATATTTTATATTAATGTCATAAGGTTGTAATTGAATTAAAAAAAAATATATTCCATCGTTGAAACACATCTTTTTAATAAAAATAGAAAGATATAGTTTAGTCTAAAACAATCTATGGAAGGTAACATTCCTCACTTCCGGAACACCGTAAAAGTAGAAAATGTAATCATAAAATGCATACCATACTTATAACTGGACACGTAACTGCTCATATCAGGAGACGTGAATACAAACAAGTGCAACATTGCGATTCACCGTCACCACAATAATTCTAACAGCGTGGGAGGCGAAAGATCATCCCAACATGTATATATGTACATGGATGATTTGTGATTGGAAAGGGGCGAGAAAAAGCCAAGAAAATCACGAGTCTTAATGTAGGTCAGTGTTACACGCGCATCATACCATGTGTGAAATCGTAAGTCAATGACCTGTCAGAAAGACGACTTACATTTTGAAAAAAAAGTTTATTCAATTTAAATATTTCACTATTATATCAAATAATCTTTATTTCAATCAAGTACATTATGTAATTGACATAATTATTTCATTAAAATTAATTAATTTCTCATCAAAAAATTGTCCAACGATTTAAAAATAGAAAGGGGACGAAACAATTTTCGAAAATATATGTATTACACTCCGACCTCAATTTTGGGAAAATTAACATTTTCTACGATACATTAAAGAGTTAAAATTGCAATGCCCGGCGGCACCTTTTAATTTTGTCTGGGAAAGAAAAAGAGAGAGGCAAAATACGGAATTTGACTCTCGAGGGGCAACTTCCTCTTCTGTCCTCGACGGTTCTACGCCACTGAACACGAGACGTGCAAAATAATAGAAGAGAAAGATGACCCGCTTGCAGCATTCCTGTCTTGTACATCTTCAGTTTATTTAATTTTGTCGATTTTGTCATTCTTATTATATTTTTCTTCAAAATCTCATAATCTAAAGTAGAAGAAAATTTTATAATCAAAAGATTTAACCATAGAAAACATTTTGTAATCTGAACAATTTATTTGAAGATGAATCGAAAAGTGATTGGTTCCGTTGGAAAGGATGAATCTTTCACTATTATTCTGCTGTGGCTCGTTATTATACTAAACTAAGAAAACGACATTTTCAAAACTAATCGCTAATCTCAATCTTGTCGTATTTTTATTATTTTAAAACAATTTTAATGTTTCTTTTGAGATAAAAAAAGTAATGAAGAAAATTGTATCGAAAATTTTAATAAAAATAATTTAAGAAGAATTTGTTTCAATAATAATTATTAATATTAATTTGAGTTTTTTTATGGTTACTCTGAGCAAAAATTTGAAAATATTTAGAAATGTTTTTATAAATCTAGTGTAAAAAAAATTTATCAACTTGTATAATTTTTTATGTGGAAAAATCCCACACGGGAATAGACAAAACTTTGAATTATTCACAAATCTTTTTACAACTTTTTCATAAAACATTCTCAAGAATTTATAATTTACATTTTAAGCTTTTTGAAAAATATTTCATAATTATGAAAATATGCTTAGAAATATTGGACATAAAGTAATAAAACATGAATATTTGTGTCAATGAACCTGCAATAGCTTGAGCAGCGACAACGACGACGACACTATGATATCACTAGAAGAATATGAGCAACAAATGACATGACACGCGTGTAACTTTCACCAGGAAATTCCTGAGAAAAGTATAATTGCAAATGTAGAAGCTGCGTGTATTGTAATATATATATATATATATATATATATATATATATATATATATATATATATATATATATATATATAATATAAATAAATGTTTATATATTTTTAAATATGAAACTTCGAACAATAAAATGGGTAAATGTTTTTTAAAACTGCGGGAAATCGATAATTTTGTTCACAATTCATGATTCTTTATCATTTTTCATAAAAGAAAGTTTGTTAAATTGTTTCTTCTTAGAGGAAATAAGTTTTGTAAATACAAAAAATTTTCAAATTTAATTTCTTTTCATATCTTTAGGAATTTTGACCTCCGCAATTATACAGAAATAACATTTTTAGAAAATATTTTTCACAAGTGCTCGCGCTTATATGTGAATGTGTAAATGTGTGTAAACACATCACATTTTCGTGAATACTCACAAAAGCTGTATACAATATTCTTTTTAAGGGGACATTCCAGTTCAAAATGGGGAAAATGAAGGCTTTTTTAGGATGTATTTCTTAAAAAACCATGACATTTATTCAGAAATTTTTGTTTACATGTTATAAATAACTTATTGAAGAATATGAAAAAAAAAAATTTTTCACTTGTAGTCCAAGATGGCGGCGATGTACAACATTTTCAGAAATGTTCATTTTTCATGGGGGGATCGATTTCGAGATTTCTACAACAGATAGAGACATAAAATAAAAAACATTTTCTTCGTTAGATCTTTCTCTATGGATGGAACCTCAAAAAAGTGGAATTTTCGTTCCCTTCTTTTTTTTAGGGTTCTTTTTTCCCAAAACTTGAAAAAAACATGTTTTTATTCAGTATTTCTGTTATAGAAAAAAAGGAAAAAGAAAATTTCCAGTTTTTGAGGTTCCATCCATTTAAGTCTCTATCTGTTGTAGAAATCTCGGAATCGATCCCCCCATGAAAAAATCAACATTTTTTGAAAACGTTGTACATCCCCGCCATCTTGGACTACAAGTGAAAAAATTTTTTTTTACATATTCTTCAATAAGTTATTTATAACATGTAAACAAAAATTTCTGAATAAATGTAATGGTTTTTTTTAGAAATACATCCTAAAAAAGCCTTTTTTCCCCCGTTTTGAGCTGGAATGTCCCCTTAAACTTCAGGTCTCACAGGGAGGAACAAAATTTTATGCTTTTTTGTAAATTTGTTTCCTTTATTTTATAGAGCTTTTTAGACACATCTTTCAATCTATTAGCAAATAAAACATAAAATTGAAATAATGTTATTAATCTGTATTTTGTTTAAAAAAAATACTCGTTCTATTTCATTGAGTAACTTATAATTAAATTTCATCATTAGATGCATTAATTCTTTTGTATTAATAAAAGTGATAAAGTCTTTGAATTATTTAAAAATTCAATTCAACATTTTCTTCAACAATCCTTATTACCAACAATAAGTAAAAAGAAAATAACTTTGATTTTATAATGATAAAAGACTAATTCTCAATAATTCTGTAAATTATTTTTTTTATTATTTTTATTTGTACAATCCTTTCGCAGGACTAATCAATTATTGAGTGGGACGTATTTTGAAATTTTTCATGTCTTTTTTTGTAGCAAAAAACAATTTTTAATTTTTAAGAATTTTTTGGCATTGGAATATTTTTGAAGGGTAAAAATAGCGCGGCAAAATGTCTAACTTTTAACATGACGGCATATATTTCTTTTTAAATTCAAGTTGTCGGATCTAAAATGTCAATTAAAGTGACATTTTTAAAACAAAAGTTTCTCGGGGGGTTTTCGGGGTCGCTGATTACGAATCTGATGTCAGTTTTAAAAAATTCAAAGTGGCGGATTCAATAAGGGCAGTTCAACTGTTGAAAATTGTTAACCCAAATCTGACCTCACTTTCAAAAATGTCAAATTTTGAATTTAGCGTAATAAATTAAATACTTCAACTTCAAATTCAAATTAAGTGTAAATGTTGAAAACTTGAGTTTTTCAAAAATTTAGTTAAACTTAAACTCTCGTCTACTTGTAATGTTTTTTCGTAAATAAATATTTTACATTAGCGAATTATGTTTCATCAATAAATTGAATTTTTCTAAATCATTAACATATTTTCTAACTGAATAATTTTGTTCAAAGGCTATAAAGTCTAATTCACTTTGACTTGCAAATATTTGCTGTACTCCTTTAAATAATGATAAACTTTTCAATTTCAAATTTTTTTCTTATAAGAAATGAACATGTTTTAAGAATAAAATTGAATCTTTAATGCATAAACTTACCTGGTACTGTTTCGCCATTAAAAGTCATTTCTACTAAATGTACAACTGCTTCGTGAGGTACAAAAGAAGCCAAAAATCGCTGACTACCTAGTGCTCTTACAAAACTCGTCACATGTCCACCGTTAACGAGGATTTCCAAATTCCCTGAACCAGCTCTCGAACCATCGACTGAAAGAAAGCAATACTGTATAAATGGTATTCAAAGGAATGTCTTTTTCTAAAATGTTTAATTAATTGTTTAATTACTTTCAAATTCGACTGGCTGATTAATTACACCATTCGGAATATTTCCCACTTGAATAGCCTTAGCATTATAAGCTTGAGACCTGTAAATAAATATATAAAGTAATTTAAAATTTTGTAAGAGAGTTTTAATATTTTTACAAAAATTTACTATTAAAAAATTCAACTTTTTTATAATTTATATAACCAATGTAAACCCATTATTATGTTATTTAAAAAAAATATATATTAAATTACTCATGGACCTGTGACATAATTGAAATATGGGTTACAAACTTGTGAATATTTTTATTACTTAATGTAAACGTTAATATAATGAAAAATTTTATCTCAACAAATTTTACCTAAATGGTGATCCTTTGATATGTTGTCCATTCACAATAACCTGAATGATATGTTCACCAACTTCGTCAGCAGTTATTGTGTAAGTCAATCCTCGTAGTGTCGTTTTCTGAACTGAGAGAGACTTACCGTGTGGTCCTAAAATAATCATAAAACTAAATTCAAAACATGATAAAGTATATTAATTGATACTAATTCACTTTCTACTTTTTTGTCTGGTTGCAAAATCATATATGAGGCATTCTTCAAAAAATAGCCACCCCAAATTTAAAGCCATTTTCCACAAAAAATTTGTAATCCCATTTTTTTTTTAAGAAGCCATTTTTGCCCTATTGTTGTCCCACTTTTATATTTGCATAGTGTGTTGGAAAAATCTCAGCTTTTCAATAAAATAACAAACAAAAATTTAAGAAGGGACAAAGGGTTTCAAAATGAAAAATAAGGGTTTATTTTGAAAAAATGGGGTTAAAATTTTTTTGTTGAAATCACTTTTTAGCATTGAAAACTGCATGACATTTTTGTTTTGTACAATCCTTTTATTTGTATTATGTAAAAAATTTTATTCATCAATGTGATTTTCTAAAATATTGAAATTATCTCTAAAAATACAGATCTTTTATTGTTTATAAAATTGATGACTGGTTTATTTAATTGTGAAACATCTATCAAATCACCAACAAAAATGTATTTTTTATTAAAAATTTTTTACGTGCAATTAAATATAATGAAATGACTACCTATAATTTAATTTTAAAAATTGAACCCACTAAGTTAAAGATGATGGATTTTACATCAAAAAATGCTCGTATTTTTTTTTTTTTACTAAATATTAAAATAAATTGCAAAACATTTGAATGTAATACTTAAAAACATTAGAAAATTGAGATTGTCCTTGTTCTTACATAAAATTTCCCTATTCGAATAGATTTAGGAGACTAAGATTTAAATCGATCAGACAAAACCGAAGTTATAGAATTTTTAAAAAAGTAACAGATATTAAAGAATTTTGTATCCTTGTGAATTTTTGTTTTTAAAAAATATTTCGAAGAGCTATTTATTATTACCAAAGTACTAATTATATCACATTACCTGTAACTAATACAGTGACATTATTAGCATCGAGTTCTGGATCGAGTGTAAAAGAAGTTGGTTTGTGAACAGGTAAAGTCTCCAAAGCATTTCCAGCAGCAAGTGAATTTTTTCCATAAACTGTTCTATATTCTGAAACTCCATTGTGAGAAAATCGCTCATGTGCAGCATCAATAGCGTCGACACTCTTATAGTGATTATTATTATTTTTATTCTTTAATATTCCATGAGTGCGTCCATTTTGACTTTCAATTGTATATTTCTGTGTTGTTCCATATTCAGAAGTCGTGAATTTTTGCGTTGAATTATAATTTGTTGTTGAATTCTGATGAACATTGGAATTTCCATTTCGATAATTATTATTGACATAATTCGTGCTGCTGATATGTTCAGTTGTTCCGTTACCCGTTAAATTCGCCAAAGATTCAAGACTGCCGTAAGATAAAAGAGATTTTGTTTTGGCAATAGCGTCCCAAGAATCGCGACGAGATGTTCCACTTGACACTGACGAGACTGCAAATGGAAATTGTCAAATTTCAAAAAATGTAAGATTCCGTTTTAATTGCGAATTGAAGAATTAAATTAATTGTTGTAAAAATCAACCATAGAGGAGAATAGACCAAAAGATGACTTTTTTTCAAAGCTGCATTAACATTATAATTTAACAAATTTTCAGCATTTTTTTTGTATCTATGTATATAAAAGTTGTACACTTTTCTAAATAATGTACACGTTTTATTAAGATTTTACCATGATTAAATGTATAATGAAGTGAAGTGTTGATAAATTTTTCTCAAGTTCACACTTCGTCCACGCTTCATAACCTAAGAATTCTAAACTTAAATTTATATGACTGAGTTCATTTCAAATAAGACAAGCTGAATTTTTTCGGTTCTGAAAATTTATTTCATGTACGAAATTATATTTTTTAATGATTTTTAGACGACACGTATTTTTTTATTTGGCTAAAAAAAACTTTTTTGTAAAGTTATAACAATTATAATTTTTCAAGTCGGAAAAGTCATTTATCTTAAAATTAAGAAAAGAAATCTTTCGTCATATTTTTTAAACTAATTGGAATATTTAATTCTTTCTTTAATCCGATAAGAAAATTAAAAAATATTGATAAATAACAAAATGGCGGCCATTTTACTAAAAAACTTTAAATTGAAATTACTCAAAAACCCCACCATTTTTTTGGCTTGAGTTTTCTTCATATTAAAAAAAAATTTCCATAAGAATATAACTTGTGCCCGATGCTGGTTGAAGAGAAAAATCTAGTAGAGTTTTCTAAAGTAATTTTCGAGAAAATTGAAATGATCCATTGCAATCCACTCTCCCCTATACTAATTTAAGGAAAGAAAAATTATTGACCCTTAACGTTACTGCTAGTGTCGACAACTCCATTTTCCACAGATCCTCTTCTGCCCAAAACTTCTTTCTCTCCGGTTCTTGGACTGAAACTTCTCTTTACTGGACTCTGCGGATTACCAAAAGTCATGGGACTTCTCGTGGGAGATCTTGATCTGCTTAAAGAACTCGATTGATAAATATCCTTGGACTCTTTGATCGTTGGACTGTTCGGTCCAATGGGACTTCGATCTGGAGAACGAGATCTGCTCAACGAACTCGATGAGTAAATGTCCTTTGATTCCTTAATTAAATTTGGACTCTGAGTGTTTCTTATTGAAGAATTGCTGACATTTGGCGAACTTCGATTAAATGTAGACGAGTAAATTTCCTTCTCTCTCGTCTCTCGTATTATCGAAGGACTGCTCAAGATTCTCGACGAATGATTGTGAGTAGATCGAGAATTATTCGAGGTACTTGATGTATGATGAAAACTACTCAAATTCTCAAAACTGCTGGAAGTCTTATTGTAAGGCGAGTGCGTTGGACTGGACGACTTATACATTGAAGAGGAATAGGTTTTTTGAATAGGACTGGATCTCTCGGTGGAGGACAAATTAACTCCATTCATTCTTCTTTCGAGTGATGAAATTTTTGACCTCTCTAGACTCGAAGTAGTGGATTCTTTCGATCTCCTGGAGCCTTTCAGTGTTCCAACGCGAAGTGAAAATGGAGATCCTCGTACGTCTGAGCCGTTGAAATAAACGTAAACACGATATTTGCCAGCATCGCGTGGCATAAAATATATTCGCGATCGCATATGTCCTATGTCTTCGATTCGATATGGAATTGATTGCTTGTCATGAACTATGTCTATGATTATATCGCCCAAGCCACCTGTTCCTGTTGCATCAACGATAAAGGAAAACGGTTGGCCTGGCATTGCTCCTTCTGTATCCAAAATCTAAAAAAACAAATTCAAATTTCTTCAGTGTCTTATTATTGCAATTAAGATTAATAAAACTGTGTACCTTAACACCATGGGGATCAAATACAAAGCAAGTAAATGGTCCACCTTGAATGTGATTTCCTTTATGTGTTATGGCAATACTCCATTCTCCAGTTTCGTCAGGTTGAAATGTCGCAGTATGAACTCCATCGTGTTCTTTTACAGGACATGGAAGAGGTCTTTCCGTCGGAGACCATGCAGTTACGTCAATACCGTCATGACTAGTTCCTGAAAAATTACATTCAAATTAAAAACTATCTTCATTCATATTCAAATTTCATGAATCTCCTCATCATTACTCATATACTTAATTTTATGACCACCAAGAACAATATATTTAAAAAAAAATTACTTTTCTTAGTCGAGAAAAACCAAAAAAAAAATTTTGTTAATTTTACAATAACCGAAATTTACAATAGGCTAAATGTAATACAATACAAGGCATTAAATCATCATCACAATTAAAAACACATCATTCATTAGAATTAAATATTTTTTCTCTTTTTGTTTAACTTTTAAACTGCCTTAGCGGTCAATAGAAGCTTCAACTTTTCAATATTGTAACATAAATAAAAATAAAAAGATTGCAACAAAATATGATAGAAATAGTCTTTTCAGTATAAAAAATAAAAATATAATATACGATAGTTGTCATTACATTATTTGAAATCACTATAGAAAAATACAAAAAAAGGAATAGCGATCTGATAGACCGCTAAAAGCGCTGAGCACTTCAATCCTTGAGAGAATTTTTGAAAAAGACACTATATAAAACAATTGAAAAATGAGAAAACAAATTTAAAAAACACAAATCTAAACAATAACATGAAATTAAAAAATATATAGGTATAAACAAAAAAAACATTCAAAAAATTTAGAAATAAATTAATCACCATAAAATTGTAAATATTAAATAATAATTAGAATCAGGAGGAAAGAAAACTTCCTTCCTTTATCATCTTGTACAGATTGAAGAATAAATCCAATTACTAATCAGTTAATTATAGAATTATAAATCTTTATTTATTTTATGAACATACTGCTGAAGGTATTTTTCTTGCTAATTACAGACATTCATAAAAAAAATTATATTTCCCTTTCAAAAATGAGAAATTGTTTTTTAATTATATTTTTTTAAAGAAAACATGTCATTTCTTAAGAACAAAATTTCTAATTTAGGGGCCATCCATAAAGCATGTGATGCTTTAGGGGGTAGGGGGGGGTCAGCAAAATATCACACTACATGTTAATCGTAAATGGAAAAAGCATCACAAGGGAGAGGGGGGGGGGGTGTTAAAATTTCGGAAAAATGTATCACATGCTTTATGGATGACCCCTTTAAAAAAATTGTTTATTTACACACATTTTTAGGCAAAATAAAACTTTTTTGTCATTTCGCTATTCCAAACGTAAATTTAATTTTTTTTCTTAAAAAATGACATGTTTTCTTCCAAAAAATATAATTAAAAAACAATTTCTAATTCTTGAAAGGGAAATCTAATTTTTTATGAATATCTGTAATTAGCAAGAGAAATACTTTAATCATAAAAAATTAGTTTCTCTTGAATGAATTTCGGGCATAAAATATATAATTAAGACTCTAACATGTCAGGTATTAGAGAACAAATAACAATAACTGTAACTTACTTTAAATTAAATTCATCATAATTTTAAAGATCTAAATTGCATTTTATTATACTTAACTTTTTTTACCTCAAATTCAATTGATTTAAACTTTAATTTATCCAAATTTTAATTACATAATCCAAATTAAAATCAATTTTTTATTTATATTGATCTAAACTTATATTGGTGAAAATGTCATCAATTGATTCTAAACATTCATCAACACTTTAATTAAGATTATTTTAAATTTATTATAATTTAAAACAAACCCAAAGTAAATTTATCGAAATTTCAGTTTAATCAAATTTAAATTTGTCCAAATTCAAAGTAAAAAATTACATCTAAATATTCATTTATTTGAATTTTAATCAACATCAAAATTCAATCAAGCCAAACTTTAATTTCTTTTAATTTCAATCAATTTATATTTCATTTAGTATAGATTTCAATAAATTCCATTTTAATGGTGGGAAATTCAATATATGTTTAATCTATTCCATTAAAATTTCAATTCATTATAAATTTAATCAGTCACAAAATTCAATCCAATCAAAATCCACTTAATATAAATTTCAACTTATTTAAATTTCAATAGGTACAAATTTGTTATTGTATTATATTAAAATTTAAAATAATCTAATTTTCATTAGATAAGAGTTAATTGATTTTGATTAATCAAAAATTTGAAAGTTTTTATTGAAAAAATAGTAGAGAAATTACTAACCGTAACTATTGACTAGAACCTCGACAATGGACCCAATGGCGCAAGGATCCATGCCAGGTGATTTGATTTTGGTTAAGGGAGGTAACACTCTGAAATAATAGGGGCATCCATTAACGAGCTCTCCGTCATTATAAACCATCAACTGAAAAAAATTACAAAATATTAATACAAAATTTAAGCTTAAATAAAATCTAGTTTCATAAACTTCAAACCTTATGCATTCCAACTTCGGTTGGAATAAAGGTTCCCTTTCCATGGGTACCATTCCAAATTAAACGACATTCTGATCTTCCACTGGGACTTACAATTTCGGCACGAACCTCTCGTGGATTAACTTCTTTTGCTAACATTTCTAATTTAAAATGAGCCTAAAATAACAAAAAGTGGCTAATTCATTTATTGAATTTTCATAATTGCATTCATACCAATTTTTATTTATTTAGTTTTTTCTAAATTTACTCATTGCTTACAAGTCTTTCTTATGAAAAATAATTTTTCTTGCAAAATAATAACAAAAAAAAGTCTATAAAATATTTTCATTTGAAAATGTGAAGAAAATTTAAAGTTTTCAATTTGCTCTTAAACAAATGTTGTACATTAATTACATCTAGAAGTGAAAATTTTCACACATTGTATGAAAGATAAAAAAAGATAAACGATACTGAAGGTAAAGTAAAGGTTGTTGATATTTCTCATATTCATCTCTAATTAAAATCATGTGAACTGGAATTTCAGTATTCATAATAGGAAGTAAATTTAGGTATGTAATTTAGATATTTTTCTACGGTCATTAAGTATTTTTAATAGAGTGTGAGAAATTTTTAATAGCAATCATTAAGCAATAAAAGTCGACCAACCGGCTGTTGCACTCTGGCGGATGTACTGTCTATGTGCACAGCAATTTGCTCACTCGCTTGAGGGCGAGGCTTCACCCACTGAAAGTATGCCGCATAAGCCATTACTCCCAAATGTTCCACATTCTGATCGGCCAAGTCTTTCGCTTTCAAGATGGGTTCCACCCCCAGCTTCTTCCCACTGTCAATACCTACAATCAAACAGAATAATTTCAAAGGTAGAAACTTTCTCATTTACATGCTTCAAACAAACAATAATCAATTAAACCCTATTCGACTTCAATACAGTTTACTATTTGACTGAAATGAAAATTTCGCTCAAGTAAATATTTACACATTTGATAATAGTCCAGTAATTCACTATTTCAAACAGATAATTTAATTATTATGGCTTTATAACTTTTTATTTATAATTAGTTAATTATTAAATTAATTTGCAAAATATATTTACCTAATTGTAAATTGTGCTCCCAAGCTGCAGGATTGGTATCAATTCGGTCGTAAGAAGGAGCAGGACCTCCTAAATTTCGAACAATTCCACACAAGGCTCTGCCGTCATTCCAATCAGTCTGTGAAAGAAAGCGACACAATGAAAAAGAAAAGTGCGCAACAGTGGGCGCAGTTATGAGTCTTTTGTCTTAATAATGCAAATTATTATTGTGTGACAGTTGAGAAAATCGATGAAATGAGTTATACTTACTGTGAAATTCGTCACTGGAGCGTGAGAAAGCTGCGAATTTACCCAACGTATTGTCGCATGAAAACCTGGTGATCCCTCCTTCATAAAATACGAAAGATATGTCATTCCCGACAATTCATCTAAATATGGTGAAGCCAAATATTCTGGCTCAAGTACAACGGGAATGTCAAATTCTTTTTTCGCTATTTCCATCGCCTTCCGACAGTTGTAAACACTACAAATTGTAAAAGTTTAATACATTTCTAAAAATGTACAAATTATTATATATTTTTTATTAACTTTTTAAATTAAAATTTGCTTTTAATTTTCATTTAAAAAATATAAATCAATAAAACCTTTAATCTAAATTTTCTTACTATTTAAGATGAAAAAAAAGTTTCAGTAGAAAATAATTATAGCATTAAAATATAATGAATTAATGAACAAACCTATCATTAGGGTCAAGTTGCCGCCAATGAGGAAACAGGCCAGGTTTGCAATAATCCAAGAGTGCACTTAAGTAAACACCAGAATTCCAATCTGTCGTAAAGTTGTTCACTCTGCATTCTGGCAGAACGGCCTAAAAAAATTAACAATTAAACATTTTCGAAAGCTTCACTTTCGAATGGTACAGCATTATTTTATTTGTGTGTTAAATTTATAAAAGAAGTAACTTAAAATTAAAAAAGTTAAGTATAATTATATTATTTCAAAACCACTCAAACTTAAAAAAAAATTAGCAGAATTTTATTAAACATACTTAAAAAATTTTCCAAATTACTTTTTTTTAAAATAACAATAATATTTTAATTTTTAAAAAGTGATAAATATTTAAAAATAAATGCAGCTTTCATTAAATTAACCTCTTGAATTCCTTTGAAGATATAAAATTTTTAAATACACACAACCAGTTTTTTTACAAGTAATTTTTTCAAATAAATTCTCAAATTTTAAAAATAAACTCAGTCTTTCAATGAACATGTATTTTTTTAAAATATTAAGTACTTCTTTAAAACATAAGCACACAATACTTTTTTAAAATCATTAATACATGATTAATTATGTATAATTTTTTTAAACCATTAACTTGCAGGGTGGCCACTTTTTGTAGACTTTTTGTCTCCCTGCAAAAATGAGCGATTTCTCCTGGTATTTAGTTACAATTTAACTGTGAGCAAAACATTACTTTTATGTAATATGCAGTTGTAAATGATATAAATTGGTTCAAAAACACTATGACAATTAATATATTTTGATTTCAAAGGACCGTTTCAAAATTACCGTTTTGTACCCTACAAACAGATCTTCATGATTTTTATCAAATTTTTTCATCAAGCCATATTTACGAAATATGAATTTTTCAAAATTGGAGAATTTAAATGATTTTTTATTTTTAAATTCTCATAACTTCTTTACAAATGCATCAATATTAAAAGTTTTTTTTTCAAAATATGTGTTTTTAACTGAACTTTGCAAAAATTTCATCAAAAAATTTTAAAATTTAAATTTACTTTATTTTTTGTAATTTAAAAGTTAAAATCTTGTTTTTAAAACTGTTCGCATCCTTCGATTTTTTTTAAATTTTCTAAAAAACTATATTCTTTTACAAAAATTTTAAGCCTGGTTTGGTCATAGGAAAACAATTTTTCAATATTTTCGAAATTTTTTTAAATTTTTGAAATTTTGTTTTTTTTAAATATCTCCGGTTTTTTTTGTACACTACGTACTTTTATGTACTTGGCGCGCTGATTAAGAAAATGATGGTGACAATACCCAAAAATTTTATTTTTATGGTGAAAACCATAAAAAAAAGTCCTAAAATTGTTGTTTTTTTTGTTTATTGGGTAAAAAAATTCAAAATTTTCAAAAAGTGCATTAGAAATAAAAAATATATTTCAATTCAAAATTTCGAACATTTTAAAAAATTCCGAAAATATTGAAAAAATTATTTTCCCACGACCAGAGCAGGCTTAAAATTTTTGTAAAAGGAAGTAGTTTTTTTTAAAAATTAAAAAAAAAAATCGAAGAATACAAACAGTTTAAAAACAAGATTTTAACGTTTAAATTACAAAAAATATACCTAGTATAAATTTTAATTCTATAAATTTTTTGCTTGAAAAGTTCAGTTAAAAACACACATTTTGAAAAAGAAACTTAAAATTGATGAATTTATAAGAAAGTTATGAGCATTAAAGAATAAAAAATCATTAAGATTCTTAAATTTTGAAAAATTTATTTCTTTTAAGAGGGCTTGAAGAAATAAATTGAAATAATCTCCCGGTGTAAAATTTCAGTCCCGGTTTTCTCCCGGTTAGGTGGCCACCCTGACTGGGTTACACTGAAAGAAAATTCATACTACTAAGTATTAAACTCATATTAGAGTTTAATATAAATGTTACAATTTAGGGAAAAAGTGCACCTATACTGATTACTACTACAGTTTTTATGAAAATATATAATGAATTTAAGAGTAACTATTATTTTAAGAAATAAGAATTAGTATATTTATTTTAAAAATTAGTATTTTCTTTATGAATTCACAGAATACGAAATATTATAATAAATAATTTCACAAAATAGTAAGAAAAATAACATATATCCGTATACTTATTTCACATTTTGTAAAACTTTATATTAAAAGTCACGGATTTTCCCGAGAGACTACGAATTTAACCGAAGTTCTGTCTGTTTGCGGCTTCGTGTCCTACTCGAACTTCTACGACTTGATCCGATTTTCGAAAGTGTTGTTAACCAGCAGAACGTACCTAATTTATTTTCAATTTATAAAAAATGTTTTATTAAAGTTATTTAATAATAATAAATTTATTATTAATTATTAAATTTATTATTATTTTTATTAATTTTTATTTTTTGATGTCATCTTTACAATTATTTAATTTTTATTTGCAATAAAAATTTTTATAACAATCATAATTTTTAATCTGAAAAAAAAGAAAAATCTATATAAACAATTAATAATAAAAATGAACCCAGCGTAACCTCTATAAAATTACACCATTGGCACTAGTAAACTATTTTTTATTGTTAAGTTATTATAAGTAAACTTCTTTCTCGCAAGTGGTAAAAATATTCAGTAGTTAGTATATAAGAAAACGATATATGCCGACCCCCAGCGAAATTTATCGTTATGCGTATAGAATTGTAAGTGTAGGTTTCGTTGCGATCGTGTAATGTCTATGTATAAGCGAAATGAACGTGCGTGTTCATTAGTATGTGTATTAACCTGTATCATAAGTGTGAATGTGTTGTTCCTAGTCTCACTCCTCTTCCTCCCGAGAATTAACGGAAACGTCCGACAGTTTCCGCTTTTTTTCCCTTTTCTTCCGACATTCTGAATTTTTCGTATAAAGTTTTACAAATATTAGAACGCTACATTCCATATAATGCAACAACTCTATGAGAATTTAATATAATATTTTCAAATATTGGTAATCTTTTTACGTTCTTTCTACAATAATTATTAATATTTGAAAAAAGATTTTAAGTTGGAACTTTAATATAAAGTATATTGAATTTTAATAAAAAGTACACTTTTCCCTAAATTCTAAAAGAATATATTAAAATGTAATACGCATTTTGTTATTTTTTCCTATGAAATTTCTTTCAGTGTAGATTAGGCATATAAAAGTCTGAAATATTTAACTAATTAAATTATTTAGCTGTAAAATAAAACTTATGTTCAATTAGCATGACACTTTGAAATAATACAGTCCAATATAAAATTTAAAAACTCCTTTTTAAAAAACTGATTGAACAACATTTTTGAAGCTTTAAATGTAAATAAAAAATGGTATTAAAAAACATTATATTTCAATTAAAATACGTAAGTGACTGAAAAAGGATGTTATCAACTAAACAATCGAGTACGCTGATTATGATTCCAAAATTCAAAATAGTGGATCCAGTATGGCGAAAGAAATTTTAAAAATTTGACAAAACCCTATAGGTGAGCGAGTGTGAATTGGTAAAAGTTTTAAAAATTATAAGAAGGCGTATTTCTTCAGAAGATAAGGAGGATCTTTATGAGTAACTTGATGTGGGTATAGGTTTTTATAATTTCTTATGGGATTAATCATAAATAATAAAGACGTGTAAATAATGTGCCTACATATTTATTATGAGAACTGACTCGTATCGTGTGTGCTTGTAAAAGCCGAGTCATATAAGTTTCCCTATATGCAGTTATAATACTGACCTTGAGCCATGCAAGCATCAGTTTCCTTGGCGGGAACTTGGACTTGCCAATTTGGTATCTGACAATGAGGGACCATATTAAGCCCAGAATTAACTTCAAATTACCATTCACGATGTCCACATTGCCTGAAAATCAACAAATGACAAGTTATTTACAAAATTACTTGACCCAATTCTCATATTTCATTATTATATGGGAACAAATATATATATATATATATAGATTTTTAATTTCAATGTTAATCAAGTACAAATCTCATACTTGGATGGTAATTCTGTTTCATAAAGTCAGAAGCAATGAATCTAGAGTTAAAAATGTTGAAAAACAATTCAGTTAAATGTAAAAATTTTTATGTAATAATAATCAGCTGATTTTGCTATCATAAAAATGCTAATATAGTCTCATTGATTTACAAACTGTCTGAGGATAGAAATTTTTGTATCGTGTAATAACTTTTCAAGAAAACCTCCAATTTTCAACTAATATTTCCAAGAGTTTGTCAATATCACTCTGATATTATCTGATCATTTAGAGAAAAGTTGTTTCAATTTCCAGAATGAAAGTGCTGAAAGTAAAAAGTAAATTTCAAACACTCAGAACTATATATATGTAAGAATCATAAAATCTTTATATAATTTTGAATTTTACTGAAACTTTATTTTCTCAACTTTCTCATAAGTTTATGTATAATTTTCATTTTCTCAAGGAAGATTAGAAAAAGTACAAAAAGCTAAACAAACTGAATATACCTAATTTTCTATTGTTTCGAGACTAAAATCACATTTACAGTAATAACAGCCTGTGAAAAAGTGATAATCTCTTTATCAAATAATACAACGTTTGCAAAGCGATATGAAGATAGAACATTGCATTAATGAAATATAAATAAAACGTTTACTGTCAACATATAATAAAAAGAGATTATCGAAAAATAATAATCACATTCCAGAGGTAAATTTCTTTGCTTGCAATTGAAAAAAGAAGAATGAAAAAGTAATTCTCAAAATTGCTCCCTTTCTCTTCTGAAAGATACTTCCGGTGTCTCTCGAGTGACTCTCTCGCGAGCCAAGAACATTTTTACTTGCTCTGATTCATAGCAATTTTTTTTTCAAAAAGAGCATATTTTTTTCAGCAGTAACAGACAAAGATTTTTATCACCTACACACGAAAGAATTAAATTGGCACAGTAACTGTAAATGTGTAATAATGGCTTTCAGCAGAGCCTGTGGGCGCAGGTACACAAGAAAGGCAACGACCTCGAACGTCGATTTTCAAAGTATGATGTAAGACTTGCAGTCATAAAAAAATGACGACGATCCCCATAAATCTCACTTGCATCCTCACTAGCATCATATTTCATTTCCTATTGCGACAAACCCTCCAAGTCAGTCCACTCTACATAATACATTGTAAACAAATGGGAGTTAAAATTTAATTTACAACGGAATTCTAAATATGTCCTACCTTTTTCAAATTGAATTGCAAAGGGAGTAAAAAATTCTGTTCCATTACATTCACACTGTGAAGCAGTAAAGGAGCTGCTGTAGGAACAAACCGTTCAGTCAAACAGTACCCAAGTTGGGTCCCCATAAAGAATTTTTTTGACTCTCTCTGTTGTCACCTAGTCTAAAAAAATTTATGTACATACAAAATATAAAAAAATTTACTTTTCAGATCTATTACAAATTTTAACTAGATATAGGTATCCGCATGAAAAGGGGCTACTTTGTCACTATTGGACATATTCTTGATTAAAGTTTGAAAATTTAATAACTAAACAACACCAAAAGTCATGTTTTTAAATATTTTTTAATTTTGAAATATTCTCTGTGTTGTTTATGATAATTTTAATGTTATATAAAGTTTTTTAAACAAATAATTCAAAAAAGTCAGGTTTTTCAAAATTATTGGATTCCTGAAGTTGAAAAACATAAAGATATATGAAAAAATCGAATTTGAAAATTTTCGGTTACAATATTTCCTTCATGAGGAAGCAAAATAAAAATTTGAACAAAATTATACTAGAGATTATTTCTATTCCTCGAAAAGAAACTAATATCAAGTTGAAATTTAAAATATATATATATATATATAATTTTTAAATAGTTTTAAAAATTTCAACATGAAAAATTGTTTTTCTTATTCTTTTAATCCACATGACAATATAATTACTTAGAATGAGTCATTATATAGTGACGTTAAATGATATGAAAAGTAGAAGCACGATTTTTCGTACTTGGAATTGTATTTTTAAATTAACTAAATTAAGTAATTAACAAAAAGTAATTAATTTTTAAATTTTGTTTTTCAAAAAAACGTACAAAATTATTTTTTTCATTATGAAAATTCACAATAAAATTAAGGATCAAGATCAAAGAATCAATTAAAATTTTTTAAAACTCGGAATCATTGGCCTTTGAATAGAAAGAAAAGTTTTGAACTTCAGTTTTTCCTAAGTATTTATTTGTATAAAGAAGATGCAAGAATACCTGCAAAAAAATGAGATTCAAATTAAAATTATTTTTTTTATTTACAGATCAATGATTTCGTGTTAAAACAAAAATAAATTGTTAAGTATTTTATTAAAAATATTAATTTTTGTTTTATAGGGTCTTAGGAACTGATTTCTTAAAAAACATGAGGGACGTGAAAATGGACACTACGTGATGAATTAACCAATTAACATAGCACGAAAATATTCCAAGTTTTAATGAAACGAGCATTAATTATTATGTTAAGATATATTTCGTAATTTTTATAAGAACATAATTGTAATTATCTTTACAGCCTAATAATAATGAAGTTAATTGAAGGTAAACACGAAGTAAGAATATAATTAACTTTAACCAAGAACCATGAGGAATAGGCATTGACACTAAATCAAGGAACTTTTTACTAACAAGGTCGGTATGAATACTTTTTATATATTCGTCACAAATAATATATAAAATTCCCAGTTCGTTTATTTTCAATTTACTCCATTTTTTATTTTATTATTATTATTATTATTATTATTTGTGATTATTAGTAATAAATTTTTCTATAGATTTTTTATGAATATGGAAAAATATTTTAAAGTATGTACATATTGAAAAATTAATATTATTCGTAATTTTATTATTCTACAATTATTTTTATTTGGTCAAGAATAAATTACAATTATAATTGCAAGTTGTAACAATATTCTTTAAAATAGATTTTCATAAAATATTTTAAGTTTTGTAAAAAAATTACTCACAATGAAAGGTTGGTTTTCTGGGAAAACGATTCAAGATATCAACAAACTATATAAAATGACAATAGGTGGTTTAATTTTAAATAATTGTTCATTATAACTGTGGAATGTGATGATTTACCCTCCTTGTCACGTTTATTCAAGTAATTACGTCTCTCACGCATATAGACTTTTTTCTCTAACGACTAAAGGACAATTTAAATCAAATAAAAAAACTGGAAATATTTACCCATAAAAAAATTACATCATTTAAAATAATTTTCTTCTATGTTTACAAACAGGTTGCTCTGCAAAATGATGCATTAGAGTCTTAGTTTCCTTGTTATTATTATGCACGTAAACTCTTTTATTTGAAAAAACAAATGTTTATTTTTAAAAAATATTCAAACTTTTTTTATATCATTTTAGCATAGTTCAGTTTAAAAATACCGATTGTCAGTGCTTGGATAAAAAAAGGTGACTTGGAGAAATTTCATTTATCTCGCAAATTAAGAAATAAGAGAAGACAAATTAAGAATAATAAAAAAATTGCCAATTTTCATTTTTCAGATAAAGTAGATTTTGAAATGTTATAAATAATAGGTAGTACATTTTTTTCTAAAAGAAGTATTAAGCGAAAATTTTGTGAACCACATTATAAAGAATATTCACAAATTTTTAACTCAATCCAAGAAATTCTTTTAAAAAAATTGCATTTTAAAGAAAATAATATTTATGGTATAGTTGTGTAACTTCAGATAAAGTTTATGGAGAAAATAATAATTTTTTTTTAATAACTATTTTAAAAAATACGTTCAGAAGACTGAGATCATAAGCAGAAAATTAACATTAATACAAAAAAGAAAGGATGGATTTTCATAATAATTATAACTTTTGAGGGTTTTTAGAATTGCTGATTAAAAATTCGATGTCAGTTTTTCAAGATTTTAAATAACGGAAGAATTTTTAAAGAATTCTTGTATTTTCATAAAACTTTATATATTTAGAGGTTTTTGGATACCAAGATACCAAGTTTCATAAGAATAATCTAAGAAATTTTTAAAATTTCATACATCACATAAAATTTTGAAAAATTGACATCGAATATAAATGCGATGTCAAATTTTCAGCGTACCCTTTGAGTAAGAAGCTACTAATAATAAGCGAATTCGACAAATTCGCACTTGTCTCATCTTTGGGCATTAAATTTGATGTTAAATATACGTAAATGTATTACCGATATTAACGAGTTTAACACCATCAGTTTCGACGGCTTGTAGTGCAGTGGAAACATTTTCCAAGTGGTGATGTTGATTGGCAGGCCTAGGATTCCAACGAGGGAGACGTTTTTTATTGAGAACTTCAACTAGAGCACATAATCGGGTACCATCTCGGAAATCTTCAGCAAGATCTAAGACGGGTCCACCTCCAGCATCACCTGCTTGTTTTAAATGCTCATTCACCCAGTTTCTAAAAGTGTTAGCCTGAATCTCAACCCAAAGGTCCTCGTTGCCTTTGATGGGCATTCCCTTTGCTGCTGTTCCTTCCGCTGATCGAGCCACTAAACCAACCAGTTGCTCTGGCCGAAGTTGTTCCGTCTGCATTTTTTTCATTTTTCAAAGACACTGCAAAAATTACCAGATATAAAAGACAATACATTCATATTTTATTATAAAATCAAATATAAGATAAATCTAACCGTTAAATATCGACTTTTCTTTTAAGGAGAGTATTTTTGTAAATACTAATCGAACAGTTCATACATAAAATTCCTAGTTAGTCATAAAAAAATTAATTGGTGATTTTTTAAAATAGAAATAGTTTTAAACGAAAAATTGTATTTTTTCAAAAAGGATTTTGTGATCATCGTCTTCCCTTGTAAATTTTGCACGTTAAGACTGACGTATTTTTCGATTGACACATGTTAACTTTATTGTATTGCAATATTTTTTGACATTAAAGGAATTAAGCAGGAATGGAATAGGCAGTCAAATCAAAAGTTAGTTTAACTTGCATTTTTTTAAGTTTAAATCAAATACACTGTTAAAAATCGAGCTTCAACTTTACACTAGAAAGATTGAATTTATATAGTTTCAATCTCGAAAAGTGCGAATGTTTTTATTTCATTGGCTTAAAGTATTTTGTCCAACCAATGACATGTAAACATTTACACTTTTTGAGATTGAAAATATATTATTTCAATCTTTTTAGTGTAAAGTTAGAGTTCAATTTCTAACAGTGTAGTGATTTATAATTAAAAAATGTTTTAAAGAAAGTATATCATCAATTTAAAGAAGTTTTAATCTTTATCAAATGTCAAAAATAAAATTTTCCGACACTTTTGTACAATTTTTAAAAAGTTTTCTGAATTTTCCCTGACCGCTGAATACCCTACATACGTAATTAGGCCAATTATTTTCAACACGAACAGTCAAAGGGACAGTTAAACTTAATGTTAATAATTATTTATAATTATATTGACAAGATTGTTTCCTGTCTCTAAAAATGAATCAACAAGTTATGAAAACTTTTTATCATGCACCAAGCGCGTGTCAAAAAACTAATAATATATTATTAATCTTATTATCATTCGAAACAGTAGAACATTTTAAATAAACTCTAATTTAAAAAATGTATTTATAAATAAAAATTTTAAAATTTATTTCATTTCAATAAAAATTGGGTTTTAAATGAAGAAATGTTTTCTTTTTTAAATGAAAAATGAAAATAATCACTTTTTATATTTTGTACAATAATAAAAAACAATCACGTCTATGAATCATGATAATGATTCAATCACAATGGGTAGAAAGAAGCCAAGTCCTTATAAAGAATGTGTAGGACTTGGCTCATTTCCGATCTCTCGTGCTTTTCTATATAGTTACCGTGAAAATAAAGTTTCTTTCTCGATAGAAAAGAAAACAATAAAAAACAATGCCCTGGAATTTTAAATAATATATTAATTCATTTATAATTCATTAATTGAAATATAAAATTCTCTAAACCTATAAACATCATTCAATAAATATTAATTGGGTTACCACAATATCATTTAATTCTTTTTCCCTGATTTCTATATAGGGGCGATTCCGCACGTGAAATTTACCAATGACATTTGAAATTTGGATAAATATTTTTTTTTCGTTCTTTGCAGAAAAAAGTCGTATACGTATTTTTTAATTTTTTTATATGTGCCCAAATTTTTGAGTTATGAATTTTTAAAAAATTTTTTCAAGAGTAAAAAAAAATTTCAGATTTTCATCGACTTTTGAAATATGCTAACGAAATTTTTTTTTTGAATTTTCATATAAAAAATCGGACAAGTGCCAGTTACACTCGCACTAATTCAAGGGTTCCGTACGCCAACAATAATAAACTCTTTTTTATACATATAAATAAATAAAGAAGTACATTTAAATATCTACTTTGTATAATTTTTATTTTTGATACTTTCACTCAATGTGAAATTTGTGTTACAATTTTTTGCCAAAAATATTGTTTCGTATGATCACGTGTCTCAATAAATAACATGGCTAAATATTTACTCACTAATTATCGCATTTCCGCAAGGCCCAGTCGAACTTATCGTGAGCTCAACCGTGACTGCTGACAAATTTCTACTCATGAAGTATGTCATATTCGCAAATCCCAGTCGAACTTCTCCTAAGCTCAACCGTGACTGCCTGCCGACGTATGTATGTATGTATGTATGTGTACTAAATTGCAGTTTTTCATATAGCAATATGTGGAAGTTAAGGGGGAGGACAGGGTCATTTTTTGCAATTTTTTTGAAAAAAACAAATTCTTTTCTTTCTAGCTCGTAACCATCAAATCCAATCTGTCTCGCTATATTTTTCCTGTAATCTACACGTGAAAATACGTATGTGTACTAAATTGCAGTTCTTCATATACAAAAATGTAGAAGTTAAGGGGGGGGGGACACAAAGCTGGGACGGACGCAAGAGTCTTTTCATAAGGGTTTACGGAACCCTAATAACGATTTTTTATAAACAAATTAATTCTTTTTTAACTTTGGACCCGATTTTTTTACCTTTTTTTATTGTTACATACCTGTAAATACTAAGAGTACTTTGCAAAAAGTTTTAGAGTAGGCCTGATAATCCTTTTTGTTTAAATAAATTGTTTAAAAAATTTTGTTTTTCTTTTTTATTTTTCAAAATAAAATACATTTTAATTTGCTTTTCTATGAATAAAATGAAAGATCCTGGTGGACAAAAAACTTTTTATTTCAAAAAATTAAGAAAAAAGAAAAAACAATTTTTTAACAAATTATTTAAACAAAAAGGATCATCAGGCCTACTCTAAAACTTTTAGCAAAATATTCTGAGTATTTCTATGTAAAAATAAAAAAATATATTAAAAAAATCGGGTCCAAAGTTGAAAAAATCGTTATTTTTGAAATAAAAATTTTTTTAAAAATTTCGTTAGCATAATTCGAAAACTGATAAAAAATATTTTTTCAGGTAAACAATTTTATAATTTTCCGTGTTAAATAAAAATTGATTTGTAATCGTTGACCATAAACGTTGCGTACTTCAGTATCGTGAAAATCTGCAACTTTTTTTCTCTTGGCAAAATTTTCTAAATTCAATACTTTTAGAGTTAGATGTCATTGAAATTAGATCTATATTGGTCTAAATTACCCAAAATGTCATAATGTAAATTTCACGTGTAATCGCTCATAGACAAAATTTCCTTTTTTATGATCCCGAGAAAAAAAATATTTTTATATTGCTCACCTAAATTTAAAAAAGAAAATTATTTTTATTCAATTACTTTAATTTATAGTATACGTGTATTTATTGATTATGTAATCGAAATTTCATTTTTATTACTTAATAGAATTTTTCATTAAGTGAATTTTTATGTACAATAAGTAAATTTAATAGAATTGTTATTTAACGAAATGTTCTTTTGAATTAAACTTTTATTTGACCAAATTTAAAAATGGGCATTTAACAGAATTTTGATTTCATCGAATTTGCTGTTCATTGAATTTTCATTTGACATGTTTATTGATTTTTTCTATATCATTGAATTTGTTTTAATTAGAACCTAGAAATCATGTATTTCATCATAAAAATATTTCAATTAAATTGAATTTTTTTAAATAAATAGCAAGCTATAAACTATAAAATAATATTTTCAATAAAAATCTGTCCTCTCTCTGAATTCCCTGATATTCCTGACCTCTGCCAATAAATGTCTATAAATATTGATTAGAAAATTTTAAACACTTAATATTACAATATCTTTTAAAAAAACTATATAAATAAATGCTAAAACGATTTATTTAAATTACCAAAATACCAATTTCCTACAATTTTGAAGAAACTTAATTTAATTTCATTCTACTTCATAGAAATTAATTTAATGTAAAGGAAAACTTGAAATCATGTACATAATATATTATGTTGAAATTGCTCATCTTTGAAACAAGAATATTTTATGTGTTTTTACAATAAATTGCCGCTTATAATGGCAAGTTTGAAATAACTGCAGAAAGATTTTGTTTTATAATGAATTGCAATAACCTTCGACAAGCTTGGAAACCTATATTTGAAGACGTAGCCATGACCTCAAAATCCTGACTGGCCATCAGATTTATAAATTTTATTTACCTCTTACAAAGTTCCGCTATTATTAAATTACTAATTTAATATTATAAAATAACGAAAATAACAAAAGCACTTAGATGTTGAATGGAATTTTTTGCTCTCAAAATTAATTTTAATTACTAGGGGTATTTTCAGAAGTTAATATTTAAATACAACACAAATTTATTTTAATGCACACGTATACTGCATAAGGTGAAAAATAATAAATTTTAAAAAATACATAAAAGGCAACGCAACAGAAACTATATAAATCATAAATTTGTTCTACAGTTCGTATAAAAAAAATATTTAAAAAACTAAAATAAATTATTAAATGAAAAATCTAGAAGTATCTAATTAATTCTGGTAATTTCTTTTTTCAACTATTTTATCAATGTTATTTTAACAGATTTCTTCTTGAGAAATTAATTGCTAAAATAAAAAAACCTTTCGTACTTTTATTCTGATTAATTAAACATTGATAGTATATTTAAAAATTTGGCATTTCCATTTTTGACAAATGCATTAAATATTAAATTTGAAATTAAGTGCACAATGTACCTACGTAAAGTGTATCCGCATTCCCGTTTACCCAATAGTACTTTAATGATTTTTAAATTATTTATACATCGATTTTGTGTTATAGATATGAAGAAATATTTTGCGAAAACACAAAAAATTTTGAGACATACAGAATACTTACGTAAATTGAAACAAGTTTTACAATAAAAAACTCGAAAAACTTCAAAGAATCATTTGACAGTAAAAGTTATCCAAAACTATACGTTCATGATTTTAGATACCTAAGAATTACACACGTGTGTAGGTACGATAAATATGTCAACACAACATGTTTATTTATTCACTTTTCTGTCATACGACACATTCACGAAAATAACCACCAACTAAAAAATAAATTCTTCCAATGACAACACACTTACTTTTTCTATAAATTCCACATAATTCAACCAAAAAAAATTTCATTATTATACAAGTGTTGAATAATAATCGAACATCGATTTTTGTACATTTACGAATAAAGTAGGTACAAATTATAAACACATTATAGAACTTTGACACAGTTTTAAAACTTACACTCACATAACCTCAATTTTGAATTTATATTTTTTTATGCGAAAATCAACACTTTTTTGGCATTGTTGATAATATGAAAAATTGTATTATTAAATATACATTTTATTTCTAGAATGATCAATCACGAATATATAATCCTAATGTTTGTATTTACATAATAGATATATTTGGACATTGTTTACCTGCCGAAATGTTTTTCAGTGAGACAAATAAATAATTTTGAAGTTGTGTTTCACTACTGTAGTTTATTCGAGAAACGCCATTTTTAGACTACAAAAAAAAGGCTGACGCGCGTTCGACTGCGTTCGACGTGCGTGATCTCACTGACCCGCACTTCTCGAGATATAATAGCAAACAGCTTGTGCACTATTGCAAACTTGCTATGCATTTGGTGAACATTGGTGAATAGTTACAGGTATGTATAGTTGAAATCTACCTGTCAACAGGGCCGTACTCACAAACATTCTTCAGCTGCACGTTGAGCACACTGACACCTGTTGGTTCTCCTCCTCCCAAACAAAAATACACAATGAGAAATTTACCACACTTTTCGGAGCGCACACTCGCCAATTTAAATGAAATTAGTAGCATTATGTTTATCAGTATAAAGTTCTAGGAAATAAGTAAAAACAATTGTTTATTTACAGATACAAGAATGAATTTGCTCAAAATTGTTTATTTATATGGACATATCTTTTAAACCATTAAAGATAAACAAATTTGGTTTGTTGAATACAATTAAGAGAAACGAGATGTTTCAAATAAATTCTTTTAGCATTTTTCTCACTTTTTGTTAATTAACAAAGTTGTTTAAACAAAATAAAAAATTTACAATTCACTGAAAATCCATTTGATCCAACTTTTTTTTGACATTATAATCATCACATTATCGAATTTTTATTTAACATTACATAAATGTCCGAATCGAGTGAACATCGTCCTTATGAGCATATTTAAATGCGAATTTTAAAATAGCCCAATCACAATTTTCTTCATAATTATGGTTTCGTTATATAACTAAAATTCGCCCTTAAATATATTTACGTCGGGTATTTATCAGGATATTTTCAATTTCGGTCAAATGAAAATTTCATGAAAATTCTATTAATTTAATATGATTCGGTTAAATGAAAATTTGAGTAAATGAAAGTTCAGTCAAGTAGAATTTCAGCGGTGAAAATGCAAATTTTTTTTTATTCAAACTTCAGCTAAACTTAAAACAGGAATCTATCGTTTTTTTCAGGTTTTGATCTTCCTAGTCTGCAAATTTATTTTTTAATTCGTAATTTGTGATTAAAGATTTCATTCATATTTATTAATTATCGAGTTATCTGGTATTATTTTGAAAATCATTCATTTTAAATTGCTTAATAACTTCTACAAATAAAACAAAATTTTAGATAAATAATTAAAATATTACTTTATTATTTATTTTCTAAACTATTTTATTTTATAAAACTAACAATAATCGTTGGGTTTGAATGAGAGAAAATGATTATTGTTTGATTTCCATACAGATAATTAAAAACGTAAAATTTGAAAATTCGAAAAAAATAGTTCCCATCGTTTTCCCATTATCGGACTAGGCTCAAAATTCGTCAAATTTAGAGCAGTTTTTGTAAAAAAATTTTGAAAAAAATCGATCGATGAGATTTTTTCCTATAAAATATATGACAAAATGAAAATGTGACAACAATGTTTTTTCGACCAAATGTAAAAAACAGTAGTGTAAAAAGATTGGTATATCTTTACATTTTCTCGCAAACTTATTTTTTAAAAATATTATTTAAAAATCTCAGCGTTTCAAATGAAGAGAAAAAAAGAAAAGAAAAAGGTTTAACCAATTGGGTCAAAAATTAATTTTATTTAATAATTTAATAATTTTTTTTGACATTGAAAACCCCTTTAAAAAAAAATTTATTATTTTGTATTTTTGAACCAATGGGTCAATTTTTTTTTGAATGAAAATAATAAAGAAGAAAAATTAGTCTAATTGTGTAAAAATTGAAGTTTAAAAAAAGAAGAGTTAAATTTTTTTTTTTTTTTGAAAAAAAATTGCTTGCAATTGAAAAATACATGAAAAGTGCTTTAAAACTCACTCAATGAAAATGAGTGTCACTTAAAATGTCAAAACTTGAACCCCCCAATACTTTCTACAATTTTTTGTTTGAAAAGAGCTAATATTTTAGAGATATATGTTATAGGGCAAGAATTTACTGTCGAATCTGGAGCGTGTTATATAATGATGCCATTGAATAATTAAGGCAATTCCTGTTATTTGAGAGTGAAGGCGAAAGTTTCACATCATCTGAGTGAAAATCTATCGATATGTGACAATTACGCAAGAATGCGTGGCGCAGCCAGAATTCCAGATACAAATATATACAGAACAGGAATATGAGGGCGTTTACGCTTGAAACATAAAGAAGCGTGGGCTAATGTTTTGGGCCGCGTGGAAACTGGAGACTTTAATGATTGGTTGGGAGACAACCGTATTGGTCTTTTCACGTTTCTTCGGATATAAGAAGATGGTAGAGACAATGTGTCCTTGATTTCCGTTCTTTCCACCTTATATATTTATGAATAAATTTCTACTTTCTTACACAACAGACAAGTTGTATGAACGAGAATTGGCATTGGAAGTGGAATTTAAATTTCCTTTTTCAAAAGAATTTTTAATGTTATTGATCTGTTAAATTTTCTTTTTACTTTTACACTGAAAAAAATCAAGCTGAGAAATTCAACTGTCATAACAATTGCAACAAACAATTTATACATTTACTCTTATCGAAAGATTAAATATTAATTTTAAAAATCAATTTTATTAATGTTGTCCTCACTAAGCCTTTTCCCATCTTTGAAATTTTTTAAGTGTCATTTTTGGATTCTGCGGGGTCGAAACTATTCAAATCTCAATAATTTTAAATATAATTCTTTCGTTTTATATGTATATAAAATTCAATTTTATATCTATATTAAAAAAATATTTTGGCAAAGCGGTGAAGGAATAGATAAAATGTAAGAAACTACAATTAAAAAATTGAGAGAAGATAAATTGAAAATATTGATACTTGTATTATAAAATATACATTAAACTTTTATTTCTACAGTTCTAAATAATACACTCATAATGTACAATTATGATACATGATTAGAAGAAATAGCACAAATGTTAAAATTCGTACAGCAAAAATGGAGCGAATAAGATTTTACAATTTTTGAAGATGGCCACCTTTAAAAATTCTTTTAAAATTCGTTAGATATATGTATCAGTCTATTAAGTAGAACAAAATTTATTATTTATATATACATATACTGTATCAGAATTTGTCTTGGGTTCTTTTCTTTTTTTTTTTTTTTTTTGCAGAAATTAATATGCAAATAAAACAATTTTAAAGTTGGTCCTTTTACATTTTTGTTGGTTTTTTGCAACATTAATTATTAAACTTTTTTTTTAATCATACTCGGTGTTCTTTTAAAGTTAACTTTTCTATTTTCCAAATTACAAGTTTTCTAGTACATAGTCATAGTAATATCACAGTTATAGTTACTGTACATTTATCTCATTTTAAATATTACAATATTTATTTTTTATTTCCCTCAGATTTTTATCACTTTTTTTGCTGCCGTCAAAAATAATTTTTTTAAACTCAATAAGTTTATTTATAAACGAATTTATTGTCTATTACCTTTAAATAAAGAGATTTTTATTTATATATGTACTTTTATAAAAACAGAATTTTTTTCAATATACAGTATAAAAAAATGTGAAGATAAAATAATTAGTAACTTCTTACAAAGTAGTAATATTAGGACAAGCAGAATAACATGTCCCATCGTTTTTCTCCAACTTCCCTTACTGTAATAGTATCTTTTTATGTATTTATACTAAAATATTTAACGTATTGTTCAAATGGAAATAATTTCAAATACTAAAATAAGTTTTCATAACTTTTGATTTTATTTGTGAACCATTAAAAATGAAGAAAATTTTTTCCAATGATCTAACTTACAAACAATTATTTTTCTTTGAAGTTAGATCATTTGAAGAATTTTGCCCCAAATATATTCGTTGACATCGCATTTGCAATAATTGTTTGAGCACTAGAAAATCAGACTTGGAAAATGGATTAGTTTTAAAGTCTTAGATTTTTCTCGACTCTGCTTCTTGCGAAAACATTTGTTGTATATCTGCATATACATATGTGTATTTTTGTTTGATTTTAAAAATCACAAATACCTTAAAAAAATTTACGTATAACTTTTCAATTATATTACATCTTTTATAATAAGAGAGTAATATATTAAGAAACGAAAACTTACAGTTACTTAAAAATGATTTCTAACACACGGCGCAACAAAAAAAAACAGTTATTTTATGAAGAAAATTTATGATTAAATAATGCTCTATTTAAGTACATAGAATAAATACTTCTGTGATTATGTAAAAAAAAAAAACAAAAAATGATAATAATAAATCGCGCAATATGTTACTCTCTTCATCATAAAAGTTATTATACATTTTCTAAATTCTCTTTCTCCTTAGTATCACTTTGTTGAATAATAAAAGACGATCCTTGACCTGCTTTCTTATTATCATTTTCTTCACAAATCATTTGACAAAAATTTTCCTCATTCTGTTTATTCATTACTTTTTCGTCGAATGACGGTTTTGAAAAAGGCTTTTCGTATTTACAAATAACTGCATACATATCTCCTCCTAATCTTAATGCAAGCCATCGATTTTTTACCACTGCTAATTTTAAACACTCACACTTCATTTTGGCGTACAAATTCGTATGAAGAGTTCTACCCATTCCTTCGATAACTACAAGGTCCACATTGTGCTTCACCATTGCAAGACACAAATCCAAATTCAATCGACTGAAAAATCCATAAATTATTTGATAATAATGTATATTTTTTGTCAAAAGTACATTGTGGGGTATTTAACCCAAAAAAGGTATTTAAAGAAGTTGATATGATAATTAAACTTCAAAACGAAAATTAATTAAATAAAATCCTCATGGAGAAAGAAAATTCGATATAGAAAATAATAATTAGTTTTTACGGTAAAGATGTTTATTTTTGTTTTTTTAGTAGGTAATACACCATTTTTTAATTTTAAAAAGTTAAGCTTTTCGTCCATCGACGATAGTCCTCTATAGACGATGATAAATAAACAGTGTGGATTTCAAACTTCATATTTTAATATATAAAAAAATTAATGTCTATGGCCATAGTGACCCATTGTCAAAGAATTTTGATTTTGATAATATTTTACAACTCTAATCTTGGTTTATTTTTCAATATTACTTTTAGATACAACTATTTTATTTCAAATCTATTAAACGAAGGATAATATGTGTGAATTTTTTAATAAATCTAATGGTTTTCATTTTTAAGATTATATTAATTTTCTCTTTAAAAATTAAAATATAAATTTTGAATCAATTTTTCATAATTTCGACCACTTATTAAAATATTTTAAAATATCTGAAAAGATAACTTTAATCGTATAGATTATGTTTACCAAATTGGAGAATGGCATCATTAATTAATAGTTTATTGGTTATTTAATTTATAAAAAATAGTGCAAGCCGAGTTTTGGTAAGTAACGTCAACTTCCAACCCCAATTCGACAATAATCTACACAATTAAAGCTATCTTTTTAGATGTTTTAAAATACATATTTTAAAAATTGTCCAAGTCTATGAAAAATTGATTTAAAATTTATATTTCAGTTTTTAAAGGGAAAATTAATGTAATCTTAAAAATGAATACCATAACGGGAAACAACATTAGATTTATTAATAATAATAGATTTGAAATAAAATAGTAGTATTTAAAAGTAATATTAAAAAACAAACCAAGATCAGAGTTGATCAATTTTGATTTAATTACTTGAATGGGGAACTTTTTTTTTTATCAACCTGGACACCTATCAGATAAATTTTATTCGGGTACATTATTTAAATAAGCTCTTAAAACTTTTTAAACACCTGAATATTGCCTAACTTTTATTTAATTAAATATTTAGATATTATTCTTTACTGCGAAACCACCGTATAGTTTATGCTAATACATATTCAAAAGATTACATTGCAATTCAAGTTTTGAAAAATAATTTTGTAAGTTTGAAAAAATTACCTCAAATCGAGACAAGGACCAGCCTGAGCAGTCTCCATTGCAATCAATCGATTTTCCTTAAGAGCGCATTTAATAACATTACAAATTTTTGCTGCATCTCTTAAAGTCACCACTAATTCTGGATAAGTCACATCATTTAAAGCAGGCAACGAATTGGCACACAATATTACCTGTGAAACCACACAAAATTATATTTTTTTAAATTAATAATCTTTTTAATTGGTTATTATATATAAAAAAGTTAGTTAATTATAAAATACGAACATTTGTTCCTCGTTGAAGTAAATCCCTCACGAAAGGCAAAATCCCTAGAATAACATCAATGCCACTATTATCCACAAAAATTGCTGCACACCTGTGAGGGGGTCCTTCTTTTAATCTTATAATCCATTCATCCAAACAATCTTCTAACCAGGGTCTATCTATGGAATTATAATAAACTCTTGTTTATATTCGCGAAAAAAAATAATACTAAATTAACTTTTTTTTAAAGCTATAATTAAATATTTTGTTCTTGCCTGGTATTTTTGCTTGAGCTTCTTCAAAACTAAAATCAGTTGACTCCATTAGAATTGCTACTTCTTTTGCTCCCCAATCAAACATATTTCCACCTAGGACACCTAATATTAAAGCTTTAATTTTTTCCTCGTCCTCTAATTTATCTAAAGCTGTTATTCTACTTTTAAGAAAGCACAGAGCTTCGTCGTTTTCTTTCTTCTTTTGCTGCAAAGTCGATATCAGACATTTAGTTTACAAATTATTCATTGCATTAACTAAATTAATTATTATTAAAAGCTCTTAATTTTTATTTTAAAAAAACTATAAAGTTTCAATTGAATTTGAATAAAAAATTTATGATTTTGATATGAATCAGTTATAAACATTTTTTTTTAAATCTTTTAATGTAATCCAAAGAAAAATTCAAGAAAGTGTAATATTTCTAAAAATGATAAATTTTTATTTACGTGTAAGTAGGGGTCAGGAAAATCAAACTCTTTCATACAATGTTCAATAGTGTCGAGTAAAGTTCTAACTGTGAGAGTTCCATATGCACTGAAATAAAAATGATTTATAATACAAAGACATTTTTTTAAACATGTTTCGTCTTTTTAACTTACAATGGTTGAAGATGTAAATAGTGTAATCTATTTACATATTTTTCCTTTAGTTTACTGGCTCTTTCTTTTGCTGTTGGACTATGAGGTTGACTGAGAATGGCCTTTGCAATAAATTTGTCAACCGATTCTTCGAAACATTGTAACCAATAATCTCTAAAAATAAAAAAAGCAAATTGTGGATTTCACATGAAATGTTGATCGTAAGAAAAAGTTATCAATTGTCTTATAGGTGAAATCTAATTTATCAGCCAAACGTTTTGAAATTATATGGAAAATTCTCGAAGTAAAGGAGAGGGGAGAGGTAATTTTTTACACTATTTTATGATTGTATTTTTATTTTCTTTATTTATATTTAAACGGATTAATAAAAAAAAAAAAAATTGGATGATATTATTTTTACAGATTTATTTATCGGTGAAGTCCATTTAAACGTTTTTCTTTTAACACCATTATGAAACTCAAATTTATTTTTAATTTTCCAAAATCTTATTAAAACAGTTATTCAAAATTTTTTTTAAAATTAAAAAAAAAACAATAAAATTTTTTAATTTGTTTTTTTATTTCAATTTGCGTGCATTAAATCATAAGCGATAAGATAGTGAATACCTGGCTTCCTTATCTTCAGCAAGATCAGTAGTATCTGGATTATAAGTTGATGGATCTTTTAATAAAGGACAAAAAGTAACAACATTTTCAGCTTGATCAATTTCCAATTGATCTACCTTAATTCCTAGTTTAGTTAGAACCGAATCTTTAAATCCAGAAGATCCGGCATAATTTTCTAACCAACTGCAATTATCAGATTGTTCTGTACCATAAAGAAAAGCTCCAATAGCTCCCAAATAACCTTCATGCCGTAGAAAAAGTGGCTTTAATTTGTTCTAGAAATTATTATAAAAGAAATTATAAACATGATTGTCTTCTATTATAATTTCAAACACAAAGCGAAAGACTAACATTAGACCAGTACTTAAGGGCATAAGAGATGGCATGCATTGATAATGGATGATTTCGAAGAAAATAACCGCCAAAGTAAACTCTATTCACATTGTGAATTTGTGCATAGAGACTAGCTATTTGTCCAATGTCATTACTGATAGTGAATAATAAACTTCTTGCTATATCAGCCTCAGAGAAATTTTTTGGCCCTGAAACAAATGTTCAATTTAAATAATTTAATTCAGTTATTTCATTAATTAAATAACATTCCGAGCAAGCGAAAAAGAATTCATGCGAATTAATATGAATTAAAAACTTCATGAATCCCGCTTATTGACAAATAATAAATGTAGTATTATATAATCTTAAGATAAGATTCCTTTTCCGTTAACAGATTTATCTGCATTCATATTTTGTTTGTTTGAAAAATTAAGTTGTATATATCATTTAAATATTATACTTTGCGACGGTTATGTAAAATTTATCTAAAAAATTACTCTTTCCTTGCTTTTGTTTCGTTTTCTTTAATTTTTGAAGCTATCTATTTAGATTTTTTTTAATTAATTTAAAAATCTCAAACACAGTCTTACATAATTGAAAATGAATTTTTTTGTTTCTTAAATTAGAAAAGAAATAAATTAATTGAATTATAGAAATTAACAAAAGACATTATATACATTCTTATATTAGGAAATTAATGAAATTTTCAATTTTTTTAAAATAGCTTTTTCAATCAATTGCTTAAATATTACAGTTTTACATAATACAACCAGTTTTAGTAATAACAACTGTAGATTATTTAACAAATATTGAGATCTTATAAGACATTAACATTTTATTTAACCCTTTGAAGCAGAAATGTTTCTATAGCAGAAAAAATTTAATTATTTCAGTATTTATAGACCATGAAAAGCAACAATTTTTTGTGTAATTATACTTTTTTAAAATAAAAAAAAATTTAATTTAAATATTTTTAATATTTAATATGACAATTTTTTTGGAGTATAATGTATAAAATAGTAATATAATTATTCTTAAAAAATATTAAAATTTTTTAAACCTGTGATCATTTCAATATAATACTTTAGAACTAATAAATATGTGAAGCGCTCTGAAAAAGATATACCTAAGCAGGAAAAAATCAATCTTTTAATTATAAAAGTTTTATATTGGTAAAAGGTTCCTTTTTAATTATATCTAAAATTAGGAACATTTTTTTATGGAATAATTTGTATATAATGACGACTTCTCTAATTTCCCTCCAAAATACTACTCCTGTAAAATCAGTTTTACGTTGTACGGTGGGGCGAAAAACACGGCCATGGACAAATTGACATAGAGCCTACAAATTTCAACCGTTTTTGATGTTCTTGGTCTTGTTTTAAAGATGATAAAATTCTGAATATCGCCTCTGATTATGTTTTTTGAAAAAAAATATTTTGTTCATATGAAATTGTTATTAAAAATCTAAAAATTATTTAATTAATTATTGATTTTGTTAAATATTATAAAAATACATTATCTTTAAAAAAAACTTAAAGCAAACCCAAATCTGAAACATGTAAAAGCAGCGGTACTATGTATTTGTTAATTAAGGGTTGATTAAATAATGCTATGTGTAACAATTAATTAAAGTAAGTATTAGTCGTTTACCTTGACTAATAATATTGCACATTTCGCTCAATATGTCATCACTTTCGTAATTAGGAACTGAAACCATTAAAATTTTGTTTATAATAACTACTGCACTGGTAATTGCTTTTGGATCTCAAATAAAAAAATTAGGTGGTTTTCAATTACTAAAAGTTAAAGAAATAAGCTATTTGCAATTAATCCACTAAATTGTTTATAACAATTATGAGCGGTTTTTAAAAAATTTATTAACTATCAGAATATGTTTCTAGATTAACACGTTAAAATTTTTCGACTTTGTTGACGTAATAATCGCCTTTTCTAAAAAGTTATGCTATTTTTAAGGACGAAAACATTTTTTTTCAAGTTTTACATTAAATAAACAATTGAAATTTTTTTTTCTTCAAAAAACATAATCAGAGGCGTTATGTAGAATTTTATCATTTTTAAATCAAGACCAAGAACGTTAAAATCGGTTGAAATTTGTAGGCTCTATGTTAATTTGTCCACGGTCGTGTTTTTCGTCCCACTGTGCGTTGCTTTGGTACCTATCTTTCTTCAGAGCGCGTTTCACGTTTACTGCTTTTAGTTATAAAAAAATTTAGGTTAGTAATCTATTTTTTAATTTTAACTTTCACATTTTGAAAACTTACTCAAATTCCTATTGCAACCCATTGCTTTACCAAAGGAAGATGCTATTAAATCTCCTGGCAACGATTGCGAAAAATAGTCTCCGCCATAAATATCTTTGACTAGCATATCCACGTTTCGATGATCTCCTCGTTCCGCCAATTGTAATAACTCGTCAAATCCCTTAAAATAAATGTGACAAAAAAATTTATTTTCTTTTCCATAATTAATAAATAGATTATATTAGATTAAGATTTATTTTCTCCATTGTGTACTTTTACAAAGTTTTACAATTTTCTTTTCCGCAAACTTAAAAAAATTAAACTAATAGTGAATAAAAAATGTAATATAAAGTAACATACAAAATTCAAAATTAAAGTACCTATAGAATATAAAATTACAAAAACAAGACAAAGGTATTTACACAACAATAGCAACAATATGATACATGTCACATGTCTAAGTAATTAAAAAATATTAAATATAAAAATTTTCATCTTACCTTAGCTTTAGTAAGTAAAGATCCCAGTCCCCAAAAAGTTCCTCCGCCCGTTGCGGTTCCACCGACTCTTTCAAATTCATTTTCAGATTCCACCTTAATGAAATAAACAAATCAATAAATTGAAAATTATTTTTGAATTGGTTTTTATTATCTAAAAAAATTTTTTCTACAAAAATATGCAAAAAAATTAATTTTTTACAGGTATTTTTAAGTTTTAATACAATCTAAGAATAAATACACAGCAGCTGCTTTTTACTATAAAGATAAAGATTACTGTAAATGATTGTATTTTATTTATAAATTAATGGGTCAGTTCATTGACTTATTTCTTAGCGCTGTTGTCATATTTGTCATACTTTAGACATACCAAAATTAAAATTTTCTTTATGCTAAAACATTCATATGTTAAACTTCAACTGTACTATTTTTAAAAAGTAGTCTCAATATTTTATAATAAACACTATTTGAATAACTTTTTTTTAAAAAGTACAAAATTCGAGGTTCAAAAATAACGCCCTGAACCTCCTACTTTTAATTATTAATTTAATTAAAAGAAATTTACGTCATAATATGATTAATTTTTATTTTGAGTCCTTTGAATTTTAATAATGGCAGGATGTTAAATATATTTTTTTTTGCATCATTTGGGTCCTAAAAACATACAGAATGGTCAAGAAAACAAAATTTTAATTCTTGACCATTTTAGAATTTTTATTTTTTGAAAAAATTAAAATTTTTAAAAATCCATACGAGAAATTCTAAAGAGTGCAATGATGTTTTAAATCATATTGTATGTTTTTAGGACCGAAATGATGCCGAAATTCCGAAATTCCTGCGATCATTAAAATTTAAACGACTCAAAATAAACAGGGTGTCCAACAAGAAGTACAAAAAAAATTCCCCGACTTTTCCCTGACTTTTTTCTAACCTTTTTCCAACTTTTTTAAAATAAATATTTAATATTAAAAAAATGAAAAGTATCAAATATTAAAGTATTTTTAAGATAATAAAAAACATTTTATTTAGTAGCATTATAAACTTTTTCTTGAACTGAAAAATTTTAAAAATTCATAAAAATGTTCATTTTTGGCAAATTTTTAAAAAGTTCCCTGACTTTTAATTAAATTCCCTGACATTCCCTGACTTTTCCCTGACCTCTGGACACACTGATAAAGGTAGTGCCTCCTCTTAATAAACTAAGAAAATGTTCAACTTTAACATATTTAAAAATTATATTTAAAAAAATTTTTTTTTTAATTGTTATATTATATTTTTTCTATAATCTACTTATTTGTGAAAATACATATAATTACATTAAATTTCAGCTTTTCGGGTAAAAAAAGTGTATTATGACCTTTTAGATAAACAAAATTGACCTACTTTCAAAACACTAACTCCACTTCCAATATTGACTAACAAATAGGGAAAAATATTTGGTGTCGTCTTTTGAAAATGATATTCGGGATTGGCATGTCTCTCGAATTGAAAAGATTCGCATGGTATGTTTTTTAGTAAAAAATTACATCCTTTAATAAGACAACAAATCTCATCTTCTTTGTCAACTCTAAAATATTAATTAAAGCTTTTTAAAAACATTTTAGCCTTAAGGGATGAATATAATATGATGGATATTATGAATAAGAAGATAGGTATTTAAAATATATATTTAGAAAACTCACAGTAAACCTAATTTTTCTTGAAGCAAGGGTGTGTATTTAAAAGCACCTCCACCTGTTACTTTAATACTCTTGCCATGAAATCTTTCAATATTCACCAAATTCGACTTAACAAAGTCTAAACAATTTTCAATATGTCTTGTTTCAAATTTAACAAAATGTAATCTACAACCTTCAAATACTTTATAAGCTCGTTCTCCTAAATTACCCTGTTCTGTACAATCGTAAAGAGGTTTGCGATAATTTACTGTTGAATAATAAGCTATTTTTGTTAATGATATTCCTGAAAACAAAGAAACGTATATTGACACGAAATAATTATCTAATGTAAATTAAGATTTCAAAAATATGTTTCTTTAAACAGTCATGCTGTGGAAACACTGCACGAACAATTTCTATACCACAAAATTATAAAATATAAAAATTTGCTTCATAATATAGGTAAAAAAAGCGTTTATTTAATTACTAAATCATCTGTAACAAGTCAATAAATAAAAATTTACTAATTCATAAAAATAAATATAAATATTTTCTTAACTTTTGTCATTTATTTTAAGCCAATATCAAACGTCAAAATAAAGTACCTATTTTAATTATAAACTTAATTAATTATTCATTTAACATTTTAATCAATTTAAATTTTCATACTTTGTCGATACTTTAAAAATAAACATTAATTAAAATTTAAAGCAGGCCTTCCAAAAACTGTTATTTTAAATAAGTATAATATACTTTCTATTATTTGTTTTCGCGTAAATTTTTATTTAGGACCAATCGAAGTCACAAATATTTTTTAATTAAATTAAAAATTAATAAGTCTACATGTTTTTTTTAATAATTTAGAACTAAACATTATGAAACTTAATTAAGAATTATTATTAAATTCAAATCTAAAAATTTATCTAAAGGCGACAATACATAATAAAAAGAAGCTTACCAATGTCAATGGCAAATTTTTGGGCATTTTTTAAATTTGCAAAAACTTCAACAGCAGGTGGTAATTTGATACTTTGAGGATCTGAACTTTCGTCTGCAGTGTCTGCCATATTTCTGCTTGCCAACTAAATTTTAAACTTATTTGCAGTTGATATTCAGCGTCAAATATTATAATACCACATTTCGATCTTTTACACACTGTAATTACATCCGATAATTTATCATTTTACAAATATTTATCTGCAATGAAACATGAAGCAGGGTTATTAAATGTTATATATATTTATCTAATTCAATATTCGTCTTCTCTACTGTCAACAATTTTGCACACTTCACTCAATCACTCCAGATGTTTCTCCCAAATTTTAGAATGAATGCAAACAAATTCAAATATATTAAAACTATTAATTTTTTAAAAGAAATCTATATTATTCTTGCAATAATAAACCAACAAAGATTAGCTCGTAACCTCAAAAAAGTAATTGATTTTTTTAAAAATAAATTATTCATTTGATATATATCTGATTTATAAATAATATTCAATACACTGCATTAATTGCAACAAACATTAAATTATAATTATAAATTGTCATTAATTTATCAAAGAAATTTACACTGACAATAATTACTCACTTTCACTGGACAATTTTCCATTGCACACACTTTTAATAATAATATAATTTCTATCCAATGAAAATTCACTTTAAAGTAAAAATACAACATGATTGGTTAAATTCGTTTTACTAGTTTGTAGCTAACTTCAGTCTGAACATCTTGAGTTAAGTTAACTCTTGTGAATGTGATTGTGAAGGTGGATTAATTACAAGAAGCATAATATTTTCGCATAAATTAAATTGCTTTTAACATTGTTTTCATTAATAAAGTGAAATATAAAAAGTTACTTTTAAAGAAGTTATTTCTTGAAGTGTTTAACTCATATTTTTATTAACAGCGGTGACTTTTAATACAAATGCTATATTTGTAGGTTAGGTTTTGAAATCACTATGGCGGATAAGGCCATTATGAAGGTATAGTTAATTTTTATTCTTTATTTCTTTATAGAATATATACTATTTGATTAAATTAATTTTTTTTTGTATAGTTTAATAATTAGTTGTATTTTTACAATGATTTACAGCAAATTACTGAGCAAAAGCTCAAGGCGTTTTCTATCGGCACTATGGGAAAACGACCTCTCAGTAAAAAGGAATTAGAAGAACAACGAAAAAAAGAACAAGAACAAGCTGCTGCGCAGGTAAAATATTAAATTTTTAAAAATATTTACTAGTTTGCCAATAATAATTTTAAAGTTTTTTTTTCTTTTAATGAATTCCCATTATTTTTATTCGAAATCTTTTGAAATATGAGTTTTATCGTTATAGCACAATGAATTTTGTAAAAATGTTTTTGATCCTATATTATTGATTTTTTTTTTTTTTTTGAATCTATACTTGAACAAAAATTTATTGTCTTATTATCTATATTTTAATGGTTTCTGTACAGGAAATTTTATTACTTTACAATCTATAACAACTATTATAATACGTATACATAGAGATATTCGTGTTGCAAAATTTTTCTTAGAAACAATTCAAATTTTTTTTAAATTTCATTAAAATAAGTGTAAAAATGATAAAAATATTGAGTGGTACAAATAAATTTTTGTTCACATAAAAAGCTTTTTTATAAAAAAATACCAAAGTGAATATTTTTTTTTTTTGTATTATAATTGTATAAATAGATTAGCCGTGATATTAGTTTTTTGCTGGGTTTTATTTTTAAAAAAATAGCTTAAAACTGCTTTAAATTTTTTCAATAAATAAATTTTTTTTTTATATACATTCTTCTTTATTTCATAAAAAATAAAAATCTTTATTGTTAAATCGTAAGTATTTATAAATTTTTATGATAATTTCCGAAAGGCGACCATCTTAAAAAAATTCCTACTGAACAAAAACTAACTTTTTCTGTAAGTAAAATAAAATATTAAAGTCCATATAGTGAAAAATAAATAAATAAATAACTAGCTAAGTTAATTTAGTATCATTAAAAACATTTTGTACACTATGTTTTTGTCTAAAAATCGAAAGTCATAATAAAAAAAATTTTTATAGATAGGATTTGGAAGTATGAAATTTAAAATTCTTGTTTTCTTCTTTCAAATGTTAGTATTTATTCATAAGTTTTATTTGTGACGAATACATATACCTTGCTCTCTTCGTAAAAGTTCAAACTTTACATAAAAAATGAATAGAACATATTTTAAAAATTTCTACAAAGATTCTTAAAGATTTTCTAAGATACTACATCAACAGAACATTGAAAAGTTAATTAAATATTCGCATTTCATTACTCTCTAAATATGAATTAGTAAAAATTTTAACCAATTTAAACTAGAGACTAACTTTTTACTATGAATTCATTCAATTTTACTAATGAATTAGAGATAAAATTTTTTTATTAAATTCATAGCAAAAAGTAAGTCACTTATTTAAATTAGTTAAATTTTTTTTAATAATTTACGTCCTTCTTTATTCAAGATATGATATAAATATTAACTACTTCCAAAAAGCTTTTTCAATTAAATTTTCGAAATCTCATCTATAAAAAATTTTAATTATGTGATTTTCCAGTTTAGGTGTCAAAAATATAGCTAATGCTATTCAAAATAGGTTTTGTAAAGTTTTCTTTACAAATCTTATGATTTAAAGTTGATTGATTACTGATTTAAAGACCTCACTTATTTTGTAAAATATGTAGATTTTTTTCAGCAATATTCTCAGGTATTTATACATTTAAAATTATATATAAAAAACTATTTTTGAAAGAAGTCACTTGTAAAATACTACATTAAGATAGTTTTTTGTATGTATTGTTATATATTTACATTTGTTTTCTTAATAGGCTTTTGAAGAATTTGTTGCCACATTTCAAGACACTCCAAACAAGCCAACTAATAAAGTTTGGGTAAAAGCCGGTACTTACGATGCTGGAAAAAGACGTAAGTATTTATAAATATTATTTATTTATAATAATACCTTATTTGCAAATAATGGGGGAAAAAATAATTCAAACTTTTCGTACAGAGGAAGATACGAGGGAAAAGGGCAAACTTTACAAACCTCAATCAAAAATATCAGAAATGGTCGACAATAGATCATCTGCTGAACAAGCGCAAGAATATGCGAGGCTTCTTGGTTCAAATGAACGAAAAGTTGATAGACTTGGCAAAAAAAAGAAAGAAGGCGAAAAGAAAAAGAGTAATTTAGAATTATTTAAAGAGGAACTTAAAATGATACAAGAGGAAAGAGAAGAAAGACACAAATACAAAGGAGTTGTTAAAACAGTATTAACAACTGCTTGCGAAGATCCAATGATGGCTGCTTTAAAATGCGTTGAAGGTAATAGAAATTAAAATTACTGAAAACTAATTTTCCCCACAGAAGGAAAGGTAAACTGATTTTTAAATATTGTTCTGAGGATTATTTGAGATTTATAATAAGGAGAAACATTCAAAGAAACCAACTTTCAACTATTTAATTATTTATCCTACTTTAGTTGCTTTTTAGTTCGAAAAAAAATCTCAATTAATCCACTATTCCCGAGCACACCATTATTTTAAAATCCTTTCCTTTGCAACTTCCTTGGCTATTCGATAGGTGATTGGCAAGATCGACGAAAGGCTACTCTGCGTAACTTCATTGACGATTCTTGTCTCTTAGCCTTAATGAATGAGGGTAACATGTTGTTCTTCTTGTTATTTGAATCTCTAAAAATATTCTTCAGAACAACAACTCCCAAATAATTAAAAAATTTCCCAATTTACAGATGGTTCTTTTGATAATGGAGATCCCAATACGACAAATTTGTACTTGGGCAATTTGAATCCTAAGGTAATTTGTAGTTTTTATATTTCTTTTAATACCTTACATTTTTTTTTACATTTTTCATAAATGACAAATATTTATAAACTGTCTGTGAATTTGGCTCTCAGATTATATTATTTTCTAAATTCTTTTCATGAACACTTTGTATTAAAACTATTTTATTTTGAAGTCATTTTCAAAAAAAATATATAATTTATAACACATTTTTTATTTTTTTTTTCTGTTTACGAAAAATGCTTCTAATTAATTTTTTAATTGTAATTATTTATTTTTTTTGCGTCATAAAGTCATAAATTATTCAATAATAAAAAAAATGAAAACTAATTATAATTCATATTATATGAATTGAAATCTGTAACTTGAATTACTTTTGTAATTCAAGTTACTTTTGAAGTACTTTTGAATAAAATATAAATACACTGACTTAAAAGTTAAATAAAACCTTAAGTGAAAAATTGTGCTTTTTAATCAATAGATCACAGAACAGCAACTGATGGAGATTTTTGGAAAGTTTGGCCCACTGGCTAGTATAAAAATAATGTGGCCTCGTAGTGATGAAGAAAAAGCTAGACAAAGAAATTGTGGTTTCGTTGCATTCATGAGTCGTAAAGATGGCGAGCGAGCGTTAAAGAATTTAAACGGTAAGTTTGTCTCAAAAATTTATACTATTGGGCCATTCTATGTAAACGGTCAGCCACGATCTTGTTATGTTTTGCTGGATTATTTCTAAACGTTGCTATTTCTTTAAAAATCTATTGAACCAACAAAAATATGTGATTAGATCAATGTAAAAAAATCAAAAATCAATTTATAAAATTGAAATGAATATTTTAAATCAATTTTTCATAGACTTGGACATTTTTAAAATGTTTTAAAAAATACATTACAGTATGTAGTGTAGATTATATACACCAAATTATAGAATGGCATCTTTAATTATTTAAAAATTATTTAATTTCATTAAAAGTACCTTTTAAAACAATTTTTTTAAAATAAAAATTGTTGTAATCTTAAAAATAAATTGTTGAACTTTAGGGTCCTTGATTTAAGAAACAAAAAATTAAAAAAAATTTATTAAATAATTGATTTCCTAAACAATTCATCATAAGTAAAATTAAAAAAAAACAACTTTAACAAACGTACAACAAAATAGTACGAAAAACAACACGTCACGTCAAATTTTTGAGAAAAATGGGGTAGAAATCAATAAAAACAAAGTTTTTGTCACTTTTTGAAAAATCGTGGGGAAAAATCCTAACATAATAAAAACTTCTCTATTATCAGAAACTAAAACTTGAATCGTGATTTTTCAAAATGAGCCCTTAGTCGACTCATATCGTTCAACAGTTAAAGCAGCGGATTAGTTTTTGTCCAGGGGTGCAACAGCTTCAAAACAGTAAGTATATGACTTCTAGTGGATGAAAAAATGCTTATCAAAATGGAAAATAGATTGTACGTTAACCTGATGCTAAAAAAATGTGCCTTACTCACAACCCCCAAAAACAACCCTTAAATTCAAATTTTTTTTTATACAACTTAATATCTCCAGAAAAAATTTTTAAATGTTTTATTAATCATTCTCGTACACTAAGTAACCATAAGAACAGTCGAAAACATCTCAATGCTAGAAAACAACTTTTTACTCACCGCCAAAAACAACCCTTAATTTCATAATTTTTCTATATAATTTTTTTTTTTTTGCATGGTATAAAAATGGGCATAAGTAGCAAGATATAAAAATTATGTTATTTTCAACAAGTTTTTAAAATGAGGTTTAGTATCAGTGTTTGACAATGATTTAATATTATTTAGTTGACAATAAATTTAATGGATGAATTTTGAATTTAAGGGATGTTTTTTTGGGGGGGGGGGGGTTAAAAGTTATTTTTGAGAAGGGAATTGTTTCCGATTATTTTATGGTTGCTCAGTATTTGAGAATAAGGGTTCAATTTTTTTTAGTTGCCAATAAATTTAACGGGAGAATTTTGAATTTTGAGGGTTGTTTTTTGGGGTGGGTAAAAACTTGTTTTCGAACAGTGAGATGTTTTCGATTTTTTATGGTTACTTAGTGTACGAGTATGATGAATATAATATTTTAAATTTTTTTCTGCAGATATTAAGTTGTATAAAAAAAAATTTGAATTTAAGGGTTGTTTTTGGGGGTTGTGAGTAAATAGGTCGACTAAGGGCTCATTTTGAAAAATCACGATTCAAGTTTTAGTTTCTGATAATAGAGAAGTTTTTATCACGTTAGGATTTTTCCTGATATATGTGTTGATTACATACATTGTGATATGTAATAAAATATTTTGTATAAAATTCTTTAAAATCATTTTTTTAAAGAAAAAACACACGTTAACTCAAATGTAAAAATCTCCTCAGTATTTAGAAAACTTTCAAATGTCTAACACCACAGTGCAGTTTTTCTTACTCAAATTAATTTTGAAATAGAAAGTATTTTTTTAAATAAACAAAATAATTATTAAAATAAAAATAATGTGACTCTAAAACAACAATTGTTACAAAATATGTAAAATTCATCTATTAAATCTTTCATTTATTACAAGATTATTATTTAATTCACTCTTCAAATTACAAAATGAATTAACAATATTTATAAAAAAAATAATTCAAGAATTAATATATGAAGGTAGGTAATATAAATGGATTAAAGTCCAACACGTGGTTTAAATCGCTTTTACAATTCTTTAACGAAAGTAAATAGCAAAATACGAGCCCAATTACCAAAATCTAACTGCTCACACTTTTTCGTACTTCACACTATTCTCCCTTTTCAAATATCAAACATGCTCAAATCACACTATGATTACACATTATAATTTGAAATCCCTGACAATTGTATTTCTTACTTGTAAAACTTATCGCAAAATAGAGTCCAAGATTATAATTAAAACTAAATAATATGACGTGATAGATCATTAATATTATACTAAAAAAACGCTCATATTTTTATTTATTTAATGGATTTTTAAAGAAATTAACATTTAAAAATGATCCAGAAAAAAGAACAAGTTCGGGGCTGTCTGCTTTACGTAGAATGCCCTCTATAATGTCTGTATATAAGATGAAATATATATAAAATTTTTCTTTTTAAGTCACGTTATTTAGAATGTAAATATAATGAATTTACTCTTATATGTACATTTTGTTGATTAAAATATATATATTGGTTTGAAAACAAAAATGAGCAGTACTAATCGGTTTTTTAAAAAAATGTGTTTTTTCATATGCAAATGGTTAAAATGTTTGACTGGCGTATGATGAGATAGGTCGAGATATAATGCAATATGAAATGAAGTTGGGCTGGGGTAAAAGTGTGCCGATACCACCGTATCCCATTTACATTCCGCCTGCTTTAATGGAAATTACTCAGCCACCACCACCATCTGGACTTCCATTTAATGCTCAACCTCATCGTCGCGACAAACACAAGGTACACTTATCAGACCAATCAAAAGGGGTGTTAATAAAAGCAATTCTCTTTCATGTTTTAAACACCTTCGTTTTACTGACGTTTCAATTTAATCCCCAACTAGTTAATATTATTATTAGCGTATGACAGATGTTAAAATTTTCTTGAAAAATCAACATTTCATTTTCTTATTATTTCGCACCGAATAGAAACAAAATGTATTGGATCTTTTGATCTCTTTCTTTTTCGGCATTTTTTTTATACATTGACTTTGGGCGGTATAGAATTAAGTGTTTCTTTTGTTAATAATTTAATTAATGAAAGCAATAGCATAATCGTGTAACTATAATTTTAAAACATAATCTCAGATACCACGTATTCGCAACCACCAGACCTTGGAGCCGCAGGAGAAGGAAAACTTTGAAAAGGTAAAGTCATTGTCTTCTGTTAGAACATACGCACATTTTTATTCGCTGATGCCTGGGTATCAAACGTCATGTTCATTTTTTTATTTCAAGATTTTTTTTTTTTTTGTTTGTTGAAAAAATGCAAATAACTATTCATAAATTGTTAATTCTTATTCCATTTAGAAAGACATAAAACGTTTACTGATAAAAAGAAAAAAATTTTATAAGAGCAGAAAATAGTGAGAATGTTAATTACATTTAATTTTTGATTTTCTTGGATATTTTAATTTTTTTATAAAGTTAGTATTAAAATAATAATAATAATAATAGAGAAAGAATAATTTGGTGTTAATTCGGTAAGTTAAAATGATAAAATAGATAATAATTTGTAATTGTAAAAGCGGAGGCGTTCTTGAAAAACAAAAACGAGTAAGCCTACCGTAGAAAAATGGAACCTAAATTTTCTAAAGACTTCTCTAATCCTCCTTTAAAAATTGTGTTATCTTGACTTGTTGCCGTCCATTCTTGGGGGTGCATTCTGATGTTTTGGCTGTACCTCTCTATCGACTTGTTGCACTGTGATCTGGGCCTTGACAGATTTTGCAGAATGCAGTTGTCAAAGTGGTTATTCCGACGGAAAGGTATTTTTAGATTTTAATCTTATATATAGACTTATATACAGAATCCTGTAAGTATGATCGCATCCGCCTTCTCTTCCCTTTCCACGATTTCTTTTTCTTTAAAAAAATCAATTTCTTCGTCTGTCAATGGAAGTTTAGTTATTTAATAAGACTGCGCGTTATAGGAACTTAGTCATGTTGATACATAGAATGGTGGAATTTGTCATTCGTGAAGGACCCATGTTTGAAGCAATGATCATGAATCGAGAAATTTCTAATCCCATGTTTCGGTGAGTAATTATTCGTAAATTTTCTATAAAAGAACAGAACATAATTTTTCAAATAAATTCTTCTTTTTGTCTTTCAGATTTTTATTTGAAAACTATTCACCGGCACATACTTATTATCGTTGGAAATTATATTCCATACTTCAAGGAGATTGCCAAAAAGAATGGCGAACTGAAGATTTTAGAATGTTCAAAGGAGGAAGCGTTTGGAGACCTCCTCCAATCAATCCATGGACTCAGGGAATGCCAGAGGAATTAATTGAAATAGAAGAAAGACAAGAGCCTCGAAGGGGTAGTTTATCAAACAGGTACTATCGTCTATTCTTTTTTTCGGGTTAAAAATTTCTTTAGAAATATTTAATAATATATTTTTTTAACATTAAAATTAGGATTCTTTGTTACCGATATACTATCGTTTCATGTATTCATGACTGTATTTGAACAGACAAATAATTGTTTTTAGTCAAAGAGATCGTTTGGAAGATTTGTTGCGTAATATTTCTCCTGAACGAATAAGAGTTGCAGAGGCAATGGTATTTTGTATAGAACATGCAGAAGCAGCTGAAGAAATTTGCGATTGTATCACAGAATCACTTTCAATTTTACAAACACCTGTGAACAAAAAGATAGCGAGACTCTATCTTATTTCCGATATTTTACATAATTGTGGTGTTAAAATTACGAATGCTACTATTTATAGAAAAGCGTAAATATTTTTTTAATTTTTCAATAATAATAATTCTAAAAGATGTATCTAGATTTTTAAGAAAAAAGTTGTTTTTAAATTTGTAGGTTTGAGTCACGCTTGCAAGAAATATTTAATGAAGTTCATCAGGCTTATAAACAATTTGACAGTAGACTAAAAGCTGAAGGATTTAAAGTTCGTGTAATGCGAATGTTTAGAGCGTGGGAAGATTGGGCAGTTTATCCTAGAGACTTTCTGGTCAAACTGCAAAATTCGTTTCTTGGTCTTGTTATGGTAGGTGACTTTATTTCAATTAACTGGAACTTTACATTTTAATTTCATAATGATTATAGCCAGAAGAACCTGAAAAAGAACACGATGAAGACATAGATGGGGCTCCTCTTTCGGATACAGATGCAGAAGCAACAGAAGATTTAGACGGTGTTCCACTTGATGGTGCAGCTCTTTTAAAAGGTGCCATAAAACTTGGCCTCACGCCCCAACCAGGTTCTCATTATGATGACATAGACGGAGTACCGAGTAAGTTTAAACAATTCATTTTACAATTAAATATCTATCGATAGAACTTTAAATTTGAAATAGTTACTAAATAATTAAAATTGAAAACTTTTCATTTCCTAAATAATTTATTTTATTTTTATCCATCGAAAAAAGGTTCATACGGATATTTGTGCGCAAAAAGTATTGAATTTAAAAACAAAAATTATTTTGAAAAATTAAAATTTGTTCTTTAAGATTAAGAAAATCAATTTTTCAACCTATTATCTATGTTCATTAATGAATATTATTTATATTATTTATACATATATTAAAGAATTTTGTTGAGATAATTATTTTAATAATAGTGGATGAAGACATTGACGGTATCCCGATGGAAGACGAAGATAATGAAAATGCAAAATCTAAAGATGATGATAAAAAATCTGCGATGCCCGCAGGATTTGTTCCTTCAAGGTGGGAAACTGTGGATCCAGATCAGGTAAATAATAAGATGTAAAAATATATTTTTCCTACTTTTTTATTCTATAAAGAATTTTATGTTTGTAATTACAAAATTAATTTTTTTATACGCAGTTTTTTTAAGTCAATAATGTTTTTAGATCGAGGCGCAAGCAATGACGACAAGTAAATGGGAGGAATTGGGACAAAATGATGATTCAAATTCACAAGATGCGAGTATGGATTCAAGGTAAAACTTACGTTTTATATTTTGGTAATTTATTTGTGTGTCGAATTTTAAAAAAAAGTTTTTTTTTTAAATTTGCATTTCAATTGAATTACAGTAGCAGAGATAACAACGATATTTCTGTTCAATTAAATTCTAGTAGCCGAGATTTTAATGAAGAAAGAAGAAACAGACTCCGAGAAATTGAAGTCAAAGCCATGCAGTACCAAGATGAACTAGAGAGCGGAAGAAGATCCATTAAAGGTGGCATGAGCATTCAAGCTCAGGTTGAACATTACCGAAAGAAGTTAATTAGGAAGGTAAATTATTCACTGTCAGATTTATAATAATTCCTTGATTTTTGAAAAATGAATGGTATTAATTTTTCGTTTTATAGAGTGAAAGAGAAATGAAAGATAGAAAAAGCGAAGATCGCGAAGATGAGAGACGAAGGGAGAAGAAACGAAGCGTTACTCCGGACTCGCCAGTACATTATAGAGATAGAAGAAGAAATTCACCAAGTCCTCCTCCTAAATCGAGTAGTCGATACAGGTACGTTAAATCTACGGAAAACAGTTTTTATTTTCCAGGCGCCAATTTTTTGTTCCCCTATGTAATCGGTTTACTTTTCAGGTCACGCAGTCGATCACCGCGCAGCAAACGTAGATCACGATCACCACATAAAAAGCGAAATCCAATTACACCTTCACCTCCTAGAATTCGAAGAACACCTTCTCCTTCATTTTCGTCGCGGTCGTCACGCAGATCGCCGGTCAGTGAACGAAGTGATAGAAAAAGACGGGCACGGTCGCCGTCTCTGTCACCTCCTCCACCTCCAAGAACTTCGTCAAAACACAGAATGAGTAGTCCACCGTCACCGTCGCCAAGGAAACACAGACATAAGCACAAATATTAAACTTTTTTACTTTCTTTACTTCAATCAACGGAGCAAGATTGAATTGTGAATCAAGGTAAAGTAAAGTGTCTTTTTTACAATCTTCTTATAGAAGATTATCCACTTTTTAAGACTTATACTCATCAAGTGAAACTCAAGCATAATTCTGCATTAATTTATACTGTCTCTAGTTGTATATTACAGTCATTGTATAAACTTTCAGGATTTTCTTCAGACTTTCCATTTCGAGAGGAATAAGATAATATTGTACATTGTTAATTTTTATTTAACTACATCATGTTTGGTGTATACTGTATTGCAAATTTTAGAGTTGCAGTCAGACACTAAAAATTTGTATTATATTTGTAAAATTGCTTCGATGAGAAACTTTTTACCAATTGGTATAATAATTATCAACCGAATATTTACATTTTTATTTTATCGTCGCAAACTCAAAAAAAAAAAAAAAAAAAAAAAAACATTTGTTAATATAATGCTAAGTAATAAAACAGTTTAGGATATAATATATTTTAGTATTCATCTTTCTTAGCTTTAATGTTTTTATACTCCAACAAGTTTTGGTATTTTTTTTCGTTTTAATTTTCTCGGGGAAAAAATTGACTGATTATTATTTTTTAAATTATCAAATTTTAATGCTTATATTATTAATTTAATTAGGAATAAATTATGAGACAAAAACTTTTCTGTTTTCAATATATTTTTATAAGAAAGATAATGATAATGGTACATATGTCAAGAAAATACTTTTCTAAAAAATATACAACTCACTTCAACTGTCCTTTAAAATTCGTTGGATTTTTTAGAGTTTTGCCTATAATGTAAAAATTCATTGAAATGCAGATGATATTACTCACAATTAAAGTTTGCTTCCTTTTGCATAATCAGCCATAATTTCCTCTCATCTTTTAAGACCAATTGTTGTAAAATTATTAAGTAAACACAATATAAATAAATATATAGAAGATATTTTATCTTACTCCGACAGTAAGCTAAAAGTATTTTGAAATAGAAAGTTAGAATAATTTTTAAGAAAATTAAAAAAATAATTTTATAATCATAAAGCAATTCAACATTACAACTAATAGAATCTTAATTATTTAATATGATCGATGATCTTTGGAATTAGTAAAAAAAGCAATTAATTTTATTTTAACGGTCTATTTTAAAAGCAATAAAAATCCCGAGAGTTAATTAAAGAGAAACGCGCGCAGAATAAAAGAAAAGAGGAACAAAAGTGAAAATTGATACTAATTGTCAGGTCCCTGGAGACAGAAATAAAAAATTCTAGTTTTTATCCAATATTTTAAATAAGTCTTATTAAATAAAATTCATCAGATATTTTAGTGATAAAAATTATAGAAAATAAATTGCTAGAATAAAAAAGTAAAATACAATACTTTTTCCTAAAAAATATTATACAAACCTTAAAGTGTGAATTTGTTAATTCTTCGCTAGTTGTTAAATCACCAGAAGTTGATACATTAACGAAATTGCTTTTTGGAGGTTCTGCTTTGCTACTATTGAAAATTTTATCTATTTCCGTTGGTGTCTTTTGTGCTGCTTCAAGTGGCGCCTTGACGTCTGTCAAAGCATTAAAATATTATTTTTTTATTAGCCAAATTCTATTAACTTTATACAGAGAAGTAGACAATTTTTAATTAGATCCTCCATGCTCAAAATAAAAAAAATGGACCGTGACTCACATGTAAAAGCATTCATTTTGTGTTATTCTTATATTTGGGGCAAAATTCCTCAACTGTTCCCACCCCAAAAATTAATTTCAGTCGATTCCTCTAAATTTCAACTTAACATAATTTCTATAAAACTTGTTCAATTACACTTTTGTTATAGGGTTTTCAAAAGGATTTTTTCTCTATTTTAAGAATGTAAAATCCAAATTTTAAAATTTTTCCTTTTAAAGCGTTTTTTCTTAAAATTTAAGGAAAAAATTCAATTTTCGATGCTTAACCCCTTCGCAGTGTAGGAAAAATAAAGCTTCAGTGCCCTTCAGTATGTGGGAAAATTTTTTTTTTTTAAATTGATATTAAAAAAAACCCGAAAATCTAAGAATACCCATTGACAAGTTTATTGTATTGTTAAAATAATGAAGTAAACTATCGATAATTTATCATATTTTGTGTCTACTTATTTTTTTTGAGATGCCTCTATAGTGGTCATGCACACTGGTAGCACGACATTTTTATGCCTCTATAGAGGTCAATAACAGTGAAGGGGTTTAAAAAAAAAATTTTTTTTTGTCTCAAAAAATGGTCAAATTTGACTTTTTTTACATAAAAAACTACAATTTTTTAAATTTAACCTTCAAAATCAGCTATTCCCATTTTTTCTTCTCCATGGTGTTAAAGTATACAAAATATGCTATTTTTGAGACAAAAAAAGATATTTTTTAAACGGCCTTAAGCATCGAAAATTGAATTTTTTCCTTAAATTTTAAAAAGAAACGCTTTCAAAGGAAAAATTTTAAAATTTGGATTTCATATTCTTAAAGTAGAGAAAATTCGAAAACTCTATAATAAAAGTGTAATTGAACAAGTTTTATAGAAATTATGTTAAGTTGAATTTTAGAGAAATCGACTGAGAGTTGAAATTTCGAACCCCTGTATCTTGAAAGCCCTTTGCTGTTGAGTCAAATCGTTTGGTGGTTGAATGTAGGTCCTCTAGGATTATACTTCAGGCAAGTGTCAACTCAATCCTGAGAAATTAATTGAACCGCCGGATCGTAGAAGGGCATACGCGTGAAATCCAGCGCTTTAAGGTATCACATCGGTAAAACCGTTTTCTATAAATTTTCTTGAAAATTTTACCATATGTTCTTATTATCATTCTTGACAAATTTGCAAAATATGAAGAATTTTCGCCGTACGAAATCAGAGATATTAGCAATCAAAGTTGCTTATTTTGCATGGGAGACGGGACTAATGTATGGGGGAGAAGTACATTTTCATAAATATCATCAGAAGTTTTCTATAAATTTTTTTCAAAAACTAATGTTGAATTCACGAATAAATTTGGAACTAAAATATACAAAGAAATTTATAATACCAAAAAGTAAAACTGTTATAAATTCTAAATGTTTAATCAAATTAGTTTAAAACCTTTTGGAAAAACTTTATTGAACTATTATAAACAATTCTTCCACTGGAAGTTTTTCCAATTCGAAAGTTCGTCACAGACTTTTTTCATTTGAAAGTATTAAATAATTTTTTTTGGCCTTTAACATAAATAAATTAATAAAAATGTTAGTTATTATTTTAATTTATTTATTGTTCATCTAACACTTTTGGGACACTTTGATGAGTAAATCCTCCAAATCTGAAGTCAAAAAGTCAAAAAACTTCGGATTTATGACGAGTTGAACATAAAATTGAATGAAATATTACGGTATAAAAAAATCAAGTTTTTTGCAATTATTTTGAAAACAATTCACTTTAAGAAAAAACTTTATTGAGAAAAAAGTTGCGTAATTTTATTCTCTACAAGGATATAGGTAATATTCAAAAATCAAAATTAAAAAATTTTTTTTTTTCATGTCAGGGGCCAACTGAAAGCGCTGGATTTCACGCGTATGCCCTTCTACGATCCGGCGGTTCAATTTTTGGGGTGGGATCACTGTTGAGGAATTTTGACTAAAAAATGTATCTAATCTATCGATTAATTCTACATTGGAGAATACATTGTCAATTATAGTAAACTGCCTCGTTGTCGGCAGAGTCATTTTTGTCAATTTTTTCGAAAAAACTGATTTCTTTCCTTTCTAGCTCGTAACCACAACTTCCAATCGGAATTGCTATATTTTTCCTGTAATCTTCACGTGAAAATACATGTGTGTACCAAATTTCAGCTCTCTATATCAAATACTGTAGCCGCCAGGGGGACGCAAGAGTCTTTTCATAAGGGTTCCGTCGGGAACTCTAAAAAGCCAAAAGAATTTAGGAATTTTTAATTAAATAAAAGAATACGAAACACATTGTTTTATTTTTATACATTAATCTAATGCTATGATTCGTAACATTAGGTAATAATTAGACAGAGTAGAGTTTTTTTTTTTTAGAATAAAATGTATAATACATATTAATTAGAATAAAGTGCTTTTTGGACTACGAACAAACATTTCATATATATATATGAGGCATTCTCTGAAAAAAAGCCATCCCCAAAAAAAGTTTTGGGATTGGCTTGATACTTTGGTAAATTGTCCTATATCAAAAGAAACAAAATCTCAACATATAAACTTATTTTTTTAAAAATTATAAGAAGTAGAGGGGATTAAAGTTCTGAGTTTTAAAACTTTATGGATTTTAATTTGTAAACATAGTTTTTTGTTGGGTTTTGCATGTACTTTTCAATGTCAAAAAAATGTTTAACCCTATTTTTTTCAAAATTAACTCTTATTTTTCATATTTAACCTCTTACCCTCCCTTAAAAATTTTGTTTTGTTTTTTGTTTTTTGAAATCTGATATTTTTTTCAACAAAACTACATATATGTAGTTTCAATCCATAAATTATTAAAAATTATAATGGGAATGTAAAATAAAACAGTAAATTAAACAATTATTAAATTAATAACTTCTTTTTAGATATTTAAAACAATATTTTGTAATAAAATTCGTACTTAAAGAAATTGCAAAAAAAATTTCATTCATTTGAACGTTCAAAACTTTTGGCTCATAAAAATGGGACCCAATTGACAAATTAAAATCCATAAAGTTTTGTAGAAGTTATACGGATTTGAAAATAACAGTGTTACCCTCTACTTTTTATAATTTTTTAAAAAATAAGTTTATATTTTGAGATTTTGTTACTTCCATATAGGACAACAATTTACCAAAGTATCAAACCAATCCCAAAACTATTTATTGGAGGTGGATTTTTTCAGAGAAGGCCTCATAAGTAGGTGATTCTTCAGAAACGAAACACTTTCTATTTCTTACTTAATAACTTAGCAAACATCATTTGAATTAGTTTCGAATTTGAAGAATATATTTGTTATTATGAAATTTATTAAATGCATTGTCCAGATAAAAATATTTTTTACGAAACAAATTAAAATACAATTTTTTATTGTAATAGTTTTAAATTATTTTGAAACATATTAAAAGAACATTTAATTTTCATAAATATTAAACAATATATTTTTCAATTCGTATTGTTTCTTCTTAATTTTTATAATCTATTTTTGAAATTGCTGATTATAAATCTGAACAAATTCTTTTAAAATTCTAAAATTTTGTCGATCAATTTAAATAATTCTATTTCCAAACCTCTGATATTTTAACCTCGGAAATGCTTGTAAATTTTAATTAATTTCTCAAAATCCTTTGAAAGTTTTTTACCATTATAAAATTTGGAATTTTCTCTTTCAAAACTGATAATAACGAAAGTGATTTTATTAAATAGAAGAAATATTTATTTGAAAATTTTCTTACATTTTGAAATAAAATGCCTCATCGCTCAAAATCGATTTTCTTTTTCTTTTTTACAACTGATGCCCAAACAGAAAGGTTTACTTTTTTTCTATAAGATATATGTATGAAAATCAGAGTGACAAATTTTAAAGTTACTAAAATTTATAATAAACATTAAAACTTATTATTATTATCTATAATTTAATGAACCTTAATTAATTACATAAACCAAATATATATTGCTATTTTTGTCTATTAAAAATCTATAACCAGATTGATAAGCAGCAACCCCAGAATTATTAAGAATTTATAAACCAAGTCAATTTAGGCTGAAAGTTTGTACAATCAATCGTTAGGGTGAATAGGACACGATTTTGTATTTTGGCTCTAGAAACTATACATTTAGGGGTGATTCTGCGATAAGAGATACCAATCCTTAAAATTTGTGCCAAGGCAAAAAAATTAGTATGTATGTTGTCTGACCAATCGCAATCAATTCGAATATTATCTTGAAAATAATGGATTGGTTTATTTTCGAGGGTAAGTCGCTATTTTATTTTAATAGTTACCAAACGACGGAAATGTTTTATTGTTTAATTGTTTTGTTTACAAATAAAAGAAAATGTTTATCGTATACAATATTCTAAATTACTAATAAACAATAATTATAATATCTCTATAAAAATCATTAAAATCCATTCAATTCTCTAAAAAAATGAGATTCTTCCAGGTACATTAAAGGTTCCTCTTATAGTAGAATCACCTATATCTGCATATATTTACTACATTTACGTTGAAGGATTAAACGATGCGAAAATTTTTTATTTAAGCTCAAATACTTTCAGAGATGGGTCATTTCATTTTATTACGTTCACCTGTTAAAATACAAAAAAGTACATATGTCAAACTTTTGAATGCTTAAGGGCAGGTCAAAGTCGATGCGATTTTCCCATTGAAGCTCTATGTAAAAATTGCATCGACTGTGATCTACCCTTAAATCAATTTTTAAACTATTTACTGTAAAAAATATTAGTTTGTTCCAAAAGTAAGTTTTTAAATTAAGCTTATTTAAAAGTCAAAAACTGTCAACTTTTTTGTAAAGTTGATATTTTTATTGGATTCCAAATTGAAGTTAGCTTTTCGTATTCTAATTTTGTTCAACATTTTTCCATTCTGTTTCCAAATTAGAATTTTTCCAATTAGAAAATCAATAAAAATATTAATCTTACAAAACTGTTTAAATTTGTAAATAACTTTAATTTTAAAAAAACATAGGGACAAATGCAACAATTTAAACAGCGAAACAGTTTACAAATGATTCGTTTTTCTTCAAAAGAAATATTTGCCTGAAAAATATGTTTAAAAAAACCTTCAAATAAAACACTAAGTATTTAATTGATGCCTTAGAATTTTATAATCTGTAAGCAGGTTACAGGTTTAACAACGCAATCGATTCTGTCAAAATAAAATGGAGTGACGCAGTTACTTATTCTAGCAACAATATTAATATTATTCCATTAGGAACGGATACAAAAAACATCTATTTTAAAATAGTTTTGCAAAAAAGATTTCTATGATATACTATTTACGTTTCCACCCTTTAATATTTTTTGGTTCTTCATCCTCTTCTTCTTCGTCATCGTCTTCTTCTTCTTCCTCCTCACATTCACTTCCTTCCGGAGTTGGCAATTTTCCATATTTAGCTTCTAATTTTGCCACCAATTCACTATCATCAATATTTTCTATTTCTTCCTCTTCTTCCTCCTCCTCTTCATCTTCTTCTTCTTCTTCTTCTTCTTCCTCATCATCAAGTTCTTCTGAATCTGTAATAATTTCGCCTTCCGATGACTCCTCGTATTCATCATCAAAAGCTAATTTCGTTTCAGTTTGACTCTTTGGCTCTGTAATGAAAATTTCAATTTATTTGCTAATTTTTAATTTGAATTATGTAATTAAAGCATTTTCGATATTTCTTTTGTATAAAAGGAAAATTTAATTTGCCAGTCTTTAGACTTTTTTCATTAATTTAAGGAAAGTGAACCGCTTACAGCAACATTCTGGTGATTGTTGTTTTCGATTTTCAAAAATATATACTTATTATTTGCCAAAGTGTTAAATACATAGAAATACTGATATTTACTCACCCTCTGTAGATTTTATCAGTTTTTCTGCTTGCAAATTAACAACTTTTTTAACAACTACATTCTCCATACTATCATCTGATCCAAAATTTTTGTACTTTGTTTTTATATCTTCATAATTTTGTACTTGTTTTCTACTTGTTGGTTCTTGTGACAACTTTTTGTTTGACGCTTGTTTAATGTGAGGAGAAGAAGAAAGATTAGAATGCCGATGAGATAAATCGTCGATTCCAATCAGTTTTTCCGGAATGTCATTGTCACCTAAAATATAATTACAATTTCATTTAAAGATTGCTTTTATAATAATTAAAAAATCGAATGATACTCTTTGGTCTCTATCTTCGTGAAAAATATGTCTTTGAGGGCACGAATTGTCATACTTTCCAAGAGAACAAAAAAAAATATTATTTTTCATTATTATGTTTATTGTTATGTTATTCAAAATGCGTTTTTATCAGAGGTTAAAAAAATATCTTAAAAACTGAAAAAATTACTAAAAAATGAAATATACTTGAGTGAAAAATTGATGACACTTACCTGCAAGAGATTATTGCTCTCTTTGAAGACGTTATTGAAATTGTTAGTTGAAGATGACAGCAGTCAACATGCTACATATTTGTTTGTTTACTTAGGCCCACTAAACACACGTTAATGAAACATCGAAGCACGACCAGGGAACAAATTTATTATTACATTTATTTTCAAGTCAAATAAATAGAAACCAAATTGATCATTTAGAAAAAAGAATAGGCAATTTCTTTTGTTATTAAATTGAAAAAAAATTGAAAAATGTTTAAATATTTTAACTATATGACGACAATGAAAGATGATAAAATATTAGTCTGTAAATTTCTCAAAGTGCAATATCTATATGTTGTAAAATAATTAGTAAATAACTTGGTATTTAATTTATTATACAAAATTCACTTTGTTAAAATTAAAAAGCACTAGATTATTTGGAAAAAGTAATGAAACATTGAAATTTTCATTTTAAATAATGCTAAATTTTTTTTTAAAAATGTACTGTTAAAACAATATTTTTTATGTAATGGAAAATAACCAAGTGTTAATTAAGTGATAATTTGATTTTACCGTTATTCCATCGTTTCACGAGAACAAAATGCGCAGCGATGGCAAGTGCAACACCAACTCCCAATTTTACTGCCACTGGAACCACCATATTAATTTCCCAAATTGCTTTTTTCTTTTCAATATGAAGCAAATTTTCAAATGATCTATACTCGAAAGAAGCCTTAAGATTAAAATAAAAAGTATAATAAAAAATAAATAACCCTAGAAATAAAACCTGGAGCAGGGAGGATCACATATAGTTTTAAAAAAAATTAAAAATACATATTACTTTTACATTATGAAATTTTTCTCTAAGAAAAACTTACCACTGGATGACTCTTCGTCTTCATCTTCTAGCTTTTCTCCATTATCCAAATCTGAATCGTTTTCATCAGGCTGAATTTAAAAAGTATAATTTTTTTTTAAAAGTAACTTTTTTAAGTAAAAATAGTAATAAAATACTTTAAATTAATATTTTCATGAGCCAAAAGTTCTGAACGTTCAAATGAACAAAATATTTTTTTCAATCTATAAATTATTAAAAATTATAATGTAAATGTAACATAAAATAGTAAATTAAAGAAATATTAAATTAATAACTTCTTTTTAGATATTTAAAACAATATTTTGTACTAAAATTCGTACTTAAAGAAGTTATAAAAAAAATTTTGTTCATTTGAACGTTCAAAATTTTTGGCTCATATATTTTCATAAAATTACAAAATAAATCATTTTCTTTGTTTATTTTCTTTAAATATTTTTAAATAATTTTTATTAATTATACGTACATCTTCTAAAGATTTAAGATTATCATTAGATAAACTGACTCCAGGTATTTCAACAAATTCATCAACAGGTTCATCAAGTAATTTTTCTTCCGAACCTTTTACATCTTCTAGACTTGGACTTTGTGACTCATTTTCTTCATCATTTAATATATCTTCTTCTTCTTCTTCTTCTTCTTCTTCTTCTTCTTCTTGGGTATTATCTTTTTCATCTTCACTATTATTTTCATCGAAATTTTCCTCCTCTTCGTAACCCTCATCATTATCCATTTCTTGATCTTCTTCACTGTTTAACATTTCACCCTCATCTATAAGATATTCGACTATTAAGAGAAAAGTTCAATAACATTTTGTTTTCTATTCAATATTATTTATTTAAATCTATATATTTTATTTATTATTCTAAAGAATAACTTAATTTTTCGGACTATTTTTAGAAAAGTCTTACAATTCTTAATGATAATTTTTTATTCACATTATCTTTATTATTTCTGTACATTTTTATTAAATTTTTACAGCTGTCGAAATTCAGCTTTTTTTCCGTGCGAAAAAACGAATTTTAAGATTTTTCTAAAAATAGGTCGCAACGACTTTAGGTGAAATATAATAATGGATAAGTAAACAACAAACATTTATCTATAGTGATTACCAGGTGAATTTGATGCTTCTTTATCTATTTCTTCACTTTCTTCATAATCAATTTCTTCTTCCTTCTCATCATCTTCATCTTCATCTTCTTCTTCATCCTCCTCTTCTTCCTCTTCTTCCTCTTCTTCTACAGATGAATCATCATCTTTATCAATTTCATCTTCATCTTCTTCCTGTGAATCTCTTTCATCACCCAGACCCTCATCTTCATCGTCATCCTCTTTAGATTCTTCTGCACTTTGATCTTCATGCTCTGTGTCATGATCATTATTCTGGAAAATTGATTCATCTACCCAACCATCGAAGATCATTGCCCATTTTGAACTAACAACTGGAGTATCAACTGGAAATTTTAAATCTCTTACTTATTTTATTATTTTTATACTGACGTATTTTTTTAAAATAACACTAATAGATTTCAATTTGAAGAAGAAAGTTTCGATTTTTATAACGAATCCAATCGTATTTTTCATAAAAAAAATAGATGGTGATTTTTTTAAACAAGAAGCAGTATAGGCCTAAATTATTTTTTATATTTTTATGTATATTTAAAAATTATTTAAATTTTACAAATATTATTGTATAATATAATGAAATTATTTATTCCACTTGAACTATAAATAAATGGAATATCCTACTATAAAATTTGAAACTTACCGTCAGTTGCTCCCCGATATTCAAAAATAATAATGCCAATTAATCCAATAAGGATAGCAGAGAGGGTAAAAAAAAAAATCCTTGCACACCAATGGCCACCTGTGCTACTTTCTTTATGAATATGTATTGTAAGATTTTCTATATTTTCAGATGGATTTATTAAAATTGGCGGTGGCGTACCAGTATCTTCTTCATCTAAAAAAAAGAAACAAAACAAAAAGCCAAGAAGTATACACTTATATATTAATAACATTATGCCCTAAAATTAAATTAATTATATTTTATTTTAATGGGGGGATGCTGTATTTTTGAAAGTGGCGTCGCTATAAAAAATTAAAAATATTTAAAATAACATATCATACCAAAACTTGAACCTCGTATCCTTTGAATAATATAATCTCCATCCGCTAAAAATTACGGAAAATAAATTGAAACGAAATATAAAATTTTAAAACGTTAAAAATAATTATTATTATTCTAATAATAACGTAGAATTAATAATGTTCAAACTATACAATTTTAATAAATAATAAACATTTATTATATAATTTATAAGTCACAAAAAAGAGGGAAATTCATTCTTAACTAGTTTTTTGTTGTAAAAAGTTATTTTTTGCAACACTAACCTTTAAAGTTAAATTTTACACACTGAAAAGTGTGTGTAAAGAAGCCTTTTTTTCAAACGGTGTGTAAAGTGATTCACTTTACGCACTGAAATTTCTCTCACATAATATAAGGATTATTTTAGACCATACAAAACCACAAAATTAAAAAAAGAACTTTACTTTTAAATTTATGCACTACTGCCTAATGATATTTTTCCTGATCTTCGATTGATTTATTTAATTCTATACAATCGAAATTATTCTAATAGCAAGTTGGAATTCTTCATAATAGGTACTAAACTTTAGAGGTGGGTGTTGCAAAAAATGTTGTATAATACACGAGCATAAATCTGATTATACGCACTTGTATCATAAATAACTATTTTAATTTATTATCAATACTTAAAAATCTAAGGAATACAAATTTATTGAATTTTATTTTTATAATTTAAAAGAAAATCTAATAGAATTTTATAAAATGTCAAAAATTTCGAGTGTCGTATAACTAAGTAAAATTGGTCAATATTTTAGGGAGTCATAGATGAAATTCCAACATATTTAAATTTCTTTTGCTAAGGAAAAACAATTATTTTTCTGGCATTTTTTTAGGAATTAAAATATTACCATATTAGGTATCAGAATTAAAGACAAATAATTTTTGACGATTTTAGAATTTAGAATTTTTTGAAAATCCATGCGAATGATCGTTTAGAATGACTAAAAAACGTATACCTATTAATAAAATAAAAATTTGAGGACAAAATTTCTATTTGTAAACATTTTAGCTGAAATAATTATGTTATCTTAAAATTAAATATAGCATAGGTATTAAAGTAGATGTGATGAAAAAAATAACATTTTAGCTGTTTTTTAAGAGAATATTTAAGCTGTTAAAGATGCAGAAGAATTCTATCTCTAATAATGTAATTATTTTTAAATTAGTCAAAATTTTTCAGAGAGTAAATATGTATATAATTTAACAGTTTTTGGTTATTTTATAATAATCGTTATAATTAATAAATAAAAAAATATATGTATTTTTAAATTCTTGACTGACAACTTAAAAATGCAGCAGGAATATACAATATGTGAAAATTTCACCGAGTTCCGGGAATTTGAAAAAAAAATTGTTCTAAAAATTACAAAGAATAAAAAAATTAAAAATATCATAGAGTTCCCAAATAATTCTGCTGATAAATGCTTTTAGAGTGGTTCATACAGTTTAATCTATTTTTGTGAAGCAAACCGGTGGTCAGTCTTAGCTTTTCAAGCTTAAGTTTTCTTACTTGAGCTATATTGCCAAACTATTATTTGACTTAATCTGTCATCGCTGTCAATATAAATTTCGAATTTTTAAATTACAAGAAAAACTTACCGAATTATTAATCTACATTTAAATGGACATTTAAATTGTTCCTTTGTACAATATTCAAATAGTTATTACTTAATGACAATTTTTATAATAATTATATTACATTCTATTATAAATAAATAAAATTTTATTATGGATAGAAAGAAAATTACTTGAGTTAATATTTAATAAAAGAATAATGTTAAAAAAATGACCGTAATATTTTATCGAACCATGAAAACTGTTTTCATTATTTTATTTATAGAATTCCAGACAATAAATAGAAAGTTGTGAAATAACATAATCTTTTTAAAAAAATGACTAGAACGTAATAAATGAATTTTTAATTTAAGTCGAAAAATAATATTAGATATATATATATATATATATATATATATATATATATATAGTGAATACAAGAATTGGAAAGAGCAAGTGTCAATTTAAAATACGCATTTTCGGAGACAGAAATTAGGAAAATAAGAATAGCTAAAAATATCTCGTAGGCAAGATATATTCGTGTTACGAAAGTTCATTACCAACTCAAACACATAATGTTAATCTTACCTTTTTTACGTCTTTTGTCTTTTCGCTTTCTAGGTTGAACATCCCCCGACATGTTTATTATTGTTTTTTAAATAAACTTATTATTTAACTTTAATTAATCACCAATTGTTTTTTTAAAAAATCACACTGTTAAGAGCGCAAGAACGTGCCTCGAAAATTTGATTTTGCGGTCAGCTCGAAAGATGCTGCCAACACTTGTGTTGGCCAACAAGAAAAATCTCTACTTGACTTAAGTATTCCCAGAAATCGAATTTAAAGTCACTAAGATTTTCACTAAAATTTAAAACTTTACAAAATGAAAATAATGAAGAAATTTAAAAATTAAAACAAAATTATTTCATAATTTTATAATAAAATAAACCTTTAATTATACGATTTAAAAATATTTTATTACAAAGAACAGAACACAATAATGTGTAACAACAATCACAGTTAGACAGACTTTCCAAAAAATCATCTAAATCTGAGATAATCAAACTATTGAAATTGATAATTACAAAAGCTGTTAGTAAGAAATTAGAAGTATTTGACGTGGATTTAATTAAAAACTATATTTCTGATGGTTTGATTCGTAGAATGACAGGGACACTGGATGGAGGTAAAATCGCTAATTCCGTAACAACAGCTGTGACTAAATCTGCAGGAGTCACGTCGTACGTTATATTGAGAAGATTCAATGATTTTTTCGTTTTCCAATTGGCAAGACAAGATTTTCTCGAATCACACAAAAATGTTTCCGTAAGAGCTTCCGAGTCTCCTAAAATTTATTTTTATTTAGAAAAGTATTTAAATATGTCTTTTTTTATTGTTTTATTTTACATCATGAGCTTCTTAACAATGAGAAGACTGCACTGGAATAACGATATATGGCCCATTTTAATAAAAATGAGATTATTATATGAAAACAAAACAAAAAAAAATATTTAAAGTTGACTATATATTTAAGCTTCTTTTGTAAACGTTTTTAATATCATTTTTTGAAATATTGAAAATTAAATTGAAATTTGTATTTATAATAATTACTCTTGTTACAGCGACTTTGTATTTAGATCTTTATTTTGGTGCAGTATTCAATTAATCTTTAGTAATAATAAATTTGTACTACATAGGTACAGTCAATAGAAAATATTACTATTTGTATTTATTATTGATAAAAAGTCGATAATATACCTAATTAAAAAATACTACTGGAATGTAACAGCTGGTAAGTCGCATTTTTTTCAATTCGAAAATAATAAAAAAATATCCTACACTTTAAACCCAATTTAAGAAAAAAAATTGAAAAGTTAATTCAAAAGAACATACTGAAAATATTGAATACACAAAAAAATTAATTTTTGTACTACGGAAAGTAGTCGTTGATTATAAATTTCTCTTTTCCCTAAAAAGCAATTTTAATTTAAGAAATGGGCTTAAAATTTGTATTATTGTTTTAAAATATACCATACCTAATTCATTATAAACGATAGCATCAGTTTGTGCTCTTTCACAGGATTTATGCGTCTCACAGGATACTAAAACTGGCACATTAAAGGCCTTAGCAATAAGTGCTACTTGTGCTGATCCAGCTCTGGACATCACTGATCCATTTGCTAAAATTGCATGTGCTCCCAAAAATACTTTGCTTACCTTTTAAAAGAAAGAATATATTACTTCAATTCAAATATATATTTCTTAAAATTCTATTTATTTATATCTATAGCTGAAACAATATTAATTATCAGACTGACCTTAGGCATTATAAAACTAAGTGCATGTATCAAAATATAACTGCATTCTATTCCATGTTTGACCAATCTCTTCAACATTTCTTTACCTTCTAACCAAGGTCTACCATCAACAACTACAACCTGAAATTGACGCCCAGCTGATTGAGCATCACATAATATTTTATGGATCAAAGATGAGCTGTAAAATTCAATAAATAATCTTATTTAGACATTATTACCAAAATATTTTTTGAATTTAGCTTTCGTTTAATAATGACCTCAAAAATGGCAAAGCACGTTCCAATTTTGTATAATTTGAGCTTAAATGGTCAAAAATGGCTATTTTGGACATATTTATTAATTTATTCTAGAAAACAATTTTTTTTCTTAATTTCCCATACAGGCATTCTATAAGCTTTAAAATCAATTTTTTAAATTTCTAAATGACTTTTTTTTAAAAAAAAGAGTTATGTACAGCACTGTTCAGATATATCTTTCCTTTTTAAAACTTTAAGTTAAAAAGTCTGTAAAAAACTGTAAGTCTAATGTTCCAAAAAATCTCTTATCTTTTTTCAGTACTTTTTTTAAGAAAATATGTTAATACGAAATATTCCATACTCAATATATATTTTGAACCGGCATTGAAAAAGACCACTTAACGCATCGCGATCGTTTAGTATGATGAAAATTCAACTTTACGGAATTTTAAAAAAATAACAATTTATACATACAATCCATATGTTAATATCACATCTCCATTCGTTATTTTAGTTTGGATTTTTATTGATATTGCTTTATCAGCCAATAATATTTGTTCTTGAATGTAAGTGTCTATAGCATTAATAAGTTTCACTTTTGCCTGAAAGATTTTAAAAACTTGCAATTAAATACATAAGTAGCAATTATACTAATTAATAAACAATTAAATTGTAATTGATAAGCAAAAATTTTTAATTCCACATGGGAATTTAAAAAAATCAATTATAAATTAAAATATTTTTAACAAGAAAAAAAAAATAAACTGCTAAAAAATGTATGTCTTTCTATCTATGTGAAAGTTTTTGTTCACACAACACGTTAGAGTAATAGAATTATTAAATAAAAACGTAATGATAATTAATTTTGTATCATTCTATAAATTAAATTTACATCTTTGATAATAGGAAAAAATTCCCCAGATTGTTAAAGATTTAAAAAGAAAATAATAAATGACAATAATTGCTATTTACTTCTTGGTCCGATATTGTAGCAGGCAACAAAGACATTTGCCATTTAAGATGTTTTAAGGCATTTTGCATTGATACAGCTGAGGGTCTGCAGTGATCAAGATAAACAGAGGATTCTTGTAAGCTAACTTCCAATCCTCGAGTAAAATCTGCTTGAGAAGGTCGTTCAAAATCTTCAACTAAGTGCTTAACAGCTTGAAGAAAAGCAACACATCTCGCATTACTTCCCACGATAATTTTGTTCGCATACTTCACACCCAGCTTTACTATTTCAGGATGAATTTTCGAACCTAAATCAGAAACATTACCTAACGCGATATCTCTTTCATGATGCAAATGTTTAAATAAATTTACTCCGTGTGAACTGTCTTTTGTTGTGACTGATTTCGGAGTAATCTTCTTAACTGGCTCAGAAACTTTTAACTGAGTTGTTGCTACTTTTGCTTGAGTTGGGTTTTGTTTCTTTTTGTCACCTTGTTCTTGTTTAGCAGCTCGCTGAGCTTCTTGTCTTGCTCTCCTCTCGGCACGTAACTGAGCTTTGCTCTTTTCCTCTGACACTTTCAGTATTTCCTTATTCGGAGGTGTTGTATCAGATTTTCCGAATTGAATTTTATCCAACTCATTCGTAATGTCATCTAATTCACTTTTTATTGACTCAAGATTAGATTTCGCCGAAGACTCTTTTAATGATTTTAATTCTTTAGGAATAACTTTAGTCTCTTTAGACTTTAATTTTGTTTCCTTAGAAATGGCATTGCTATCTGTAGATTGTAGTTTTTCATTACTAGTTTCTTTAGCAACTGTTGAACTACTACATTTGGCATCTACGGTTTTTTCTTTATTTTTATTCTTGGCAGCTAATTTCGCTGCTTTTTTTGCTTCACGCTCAGCTTTTATTTGTTCTCTACTTTTTTCTTCAGAATTCATCTTTTTTTCTGGTACCTTCTCACTGCAAGCAATAGGTATACTGTTCAACTTTGCAGCAATATCTTCTAGTGTTGAAAAAAAATCATCACTATAATCACTTTTTAAATTAGTTTCTCTTGTATTCGTAAATAAATATAATAGTTCTTGATTTATAATTTGGTCAGAGTGTTTTGTTTCTCTGGGTAGATTCTTATTTTCCAATTTTAAATGAGAATTTGACACTTGACCTAAATCATGTCTCTTAATAGCAGTTTGACTATCGGGAACAATTATATGTTTTTCGCTACTAACATTTTTCTCATTTTCTAATGATTTATTTTTTATTCCGTTTACTATCTCTTCATTATTTTCAGTAGCTATATGAGACTCAGCTGCTCTTCGGGCAATATTCAGCTTTTTTCGACGCAAATGTCTTGCTTTTGATTTCGTGATTTTTGTCTGAAACATAAATATAAGAAAAATACTAAAAAATTAAATTCAATCCAATACAGTATCAACATCAAAATTAATGTTGGGTATAATGTAGAACTCATAGTAATTTAAATAGTTAAATGTTTACATCATTAAATTACTCGTATAAAATAAATACCTTATTTGAATGTACATAAAAATTTGTCATCGTGTAAAACAAATAAACTATGAGTTCTGAAAATACTTTTAATAAATATTGAGATTAAAATTATTGCTCCAAGCTAAACAGGTAAGGTGAAAATAGAAAGCAATTTGTAAAATTCTTAACAGCATACTAAATTATTTTTAGGAAAAGAATGCACAACATAATAATTTAAGTGGAAGCATTAGAATTGGTTTATAAATTCTAAGATGATTAACATAATAATGCAAATGTTAATCTAGATTAAAAAAATAAATGTCTGCTTTGTACTATGTCGTTGGCACTTACTTTTGTAGAAAGCAAACATTTTATCTCAATTTTTTATTGCACATTACATATTAATTCATCGATGTCTTCACAGTTAATACATACGATATGTGCAAACCGCGAAAGCATTGATGAACATCAATGTACTTTTTATACATGAATAAATAGTATTGAAATGTTTTTTTACTCATAAAAATCATGCAATATAAAACATTGATTTAAATCACACATCTCTGATTATCTAAAATATATAGAATATTTAAATAGAAAAACAAAAACTTCAACTATATTAAAACAAGACAAAATAAATATTAGTTTCTTTTTGAGCATATAAAGTTCAATCGTAATAATAGTAAATAGAATGTATGCAATTATACAGCCCTGTAAAATTTCACTTATGTCTTTTACCAAAGAAAAAGGGGAGGGGGTTATTCTTGTAGATTTTTTCACGCAGAATCCGAATCTGACCTCCAAAATTTGCCATCACGTCGGGATTTTTTGTATTAGCTTAAAAGACCATAAAATCTCTATTTTGGACAATTTTGTAGATTTTTTTAGGGACAACAAAAATTTTTAACGAAGACACAAATAATTATTTGTGTTATAGTTTTATTATTAACACTTTTTATATACCTACCTCACCCTTCATAGTTTTATAAATATATATTTGACTAAACGACAAAAATTCAAATCTACATGACTTTTTTTAAGAAAAGAAAAATGGGTTTTAAAGCTTAAAAGTAGTACTATATGATGCAATTTGGAAAAATGAAAAAAAAAATTTTTGACCCCAAAAAATTCATAAAAATGGCCAAAATAGATATGTTTGGCCTTTTAAGCTAATATTCCAAAACATCCTGACATGATGAGACAAGAATCACCTCCCCCTTTTTTGTAACGGACATAAGTAAAAACTTGCAGACCGGTGTTATTAATTTATAAACTACTGTTAAAAACAACTATAATATTGTAATTAAAAACAGATGGACTAAGAGAAAAAACATTTTTAGTTAAAGTTGAGGATAATGAACAAATTAAAAATGCAAAGTTGAGCTGACAAAGAAAATTAATTATAGATGAGAGTTTAATAAACGTGCGTTATTAGCTCAATTTAATGAATGGAAATATTTTTCAATTTATTTTTATTGTTATTTTTAATACTACCATAATATAATTTCAATTATAATAACGCCAATCTCGAAAACTATGTTCTCTAGTAAAAATAATTATCGATAAAACCTTCTAAAGTTTTATTGGTTTAATTGGAAAAAATTACATATCATTTCAATCATAATTAAAATATAATTTAAGAATTTAATAATTTATTTCAAACAAAAAACAATATGAGATAAATGGAATTTTAAAAATTAGAACTAAAGGAGAATTTTGAAGGGAAAAGTAAGTTTAAAAAATTAAAGTATTAGAAAATGAAAAAAATCAAATAAAAAAAACTTTGAAAAGAAACTGAAAAAAAAAATAAATTTCGGAATTTAAAAAAAATTTTATTAATTGACTAGAAAATTGACCACTAGAAATTCAGTAAAATTTTTACAAACCATGCAAATAGATCACTATTCTGCTGCAATTTTTTTTTATATAAAAGGGTCATTTTTGCAATTAATTAATGCAATAAAATAGAAAATATTATTCTAGAATATAATAATTAGTCACAAACACTCAAGTTTTTATTTTCCTAATCCTAACCAGAAAGATTAAAATTCAAATTTGGAGTGAGGTAAGATAAAATAATATATGTATACTATATAACATAAATTGTTTTCTCGATAATTATACAATTAACTAATTGTCAATTAAACTTTTAATAAAACATATATTAAAATGATAAAATATAGGACAATATAAATTTTATCAAGTTTTCGTATAAAATTACAAAATTATGGAAAATAGTTTTTCATCACAAATATGAATAATAAAATATAAGTATAATAGAAATAAAAAATTTGAAATACTGTACTACATTTATAAATTTAATTACATAAATTGATAAATATTTCCTAAGATACCTGTTGCTCCATCTTGACTATACAACAATTACAGTCTGTTCGGATTTTGACAAACACTGTCCAGCTATGAAACAAAGCCCAAAATCTCTATAAAATTCATCATTTTAACGCATATTTCTTCTATAAATGAATTTTAAAATAAAATAAAACTCGTAAATTCTTTTTTCAATTTGATTTATATTGCTTGATATTTTATAAACTTATATTTCAGGGACCTTCACGGAAGTTTAATTGTATTTCTTTTTTTTCATGTGATGATGACGAAACAAAAGTCAACAAGCTGTTCTGTTTTGATAAAGATGCAAAACCAACGTGTATAATAAAGTGTCATTTTTAAAAGTGTATTACACACATCATCTGTGAGTACGAAATATAATGAATCATCAAGTACAGCGTGTTAAATTGAATTAAAATTAAATTTCTGTTTCAAGAAATAAACAAAGTTCACGTTTGATTCTGATATATCGGAATCAAAAATATAAACAAAACTTAATTTTTATTCATTTATTCGAATCAAATCTAAATAAAGTAAACTTTTGATTCTGATCTTGGACGTGATTTTAAATAAAATTATTTTTTAATTTTACTTTCTTTTTATGACGGTCCTTGATATATTACGCATATTTGAGGTTATATTAAAAAAAGTTTTAATTTTTCTAAATAATATATAGACATTTAAGGTAAATAATTATAGTGCCAGATTATGAGTAAATACTTTTTTCATATACGATTAATTTAAAAAAGAATATATAAATAACCTTGAATTCATATGATTTAAGAATTCTAACCTAACAATGATTTACGAAAAACATAATTATTTGTTCTTACCTAAAAAATTCCAATCATTAACTTGGAAATAAATCTGCGTACTATTATCTAAGCAGAATTTTCAACTTGATTGTAATCAGTTTTAATATTTCAACAAAAATTTTAACATATGTTTACATCAGTTTTTAGATTTACAAATTTCTTTTTCTTTTTTCACTCTTTTTTAATTTCGCTGTTCATGTAGTCACTTCAAGTCATAAAATAGATAAGACAGGTTATGTTTTTTTTTTTTTTTTTTTTTTTTTTATAAAACCTGAAGTAAACTACACACGTGTGTATATACATATAAAGGTGTTTTTATGTGTGTTATAATCGAGGTTTTCTACTTACCCATCTCTGGCCTGCTCGCCCTCATCTCGGCAGTTTGACAGCTGATCAAGTTGAATTCAGTTTAGTTTGACATTTGATACGTCAATTCACATTGAACATTGAATGTTAAAAGTTGTCCTTGTTTTTCAGAGTTAATAAAAATTTAAGTCCAAATTAACAAAAATGGTATTTATCTATTTCATCTATGGTCATGATAAATTTTTTTTTTCATTTAAATTTTTAAAAAATTTTCTTTATTCTGTTCCTAAACATGTAGCAATATTGCAGAAATGACCGCAATATTGATGAAATTTTAGATGGTGTAGAGGATCTAAAATATTCTTTTTTTTCTTCTTTTAGGCACGATATTTCCGAGAAGAAGATATTGATGGTAAGTTCAAGTAATTGAGTATAATTTTAATAAATATTTATGTCCAGTAGTCATATAGCACCATTATGTGCTACAATTTTATATTGCTTCCAATTTTTTTATTTTATTTTATATTGTATATTTCATTCAAAAATGTAATTGTTAGCTTTTTGAGATACTTTTAATACTTTATCAAACATTGTAAATAGGTATAAGATTGATTTTATTTTAATACTGGTAAATAAATTTTTATATTTTTTAAAACCAGACTTTCTCGTTCATTGAACCATAACAATATTTTTAAATCAAAATGGGGGATCCAATAGTGGATAAAAAAATGTTATTTCATTCAATTTCTTTAAAAATGTTAACTCCGGAGATTTTGTGTTTTTTAGGCTAATTACGAATTTATATTCATTTTTTTATGTTATAATAATATAATTATAAGTAATAATTACGAATTTGATGTCAGGTTTTGGTTATTCAAAATGTTGAATCCAATTATCTTATAAGCTTAATTTTTTTTTTTTTTAGTATTTTAAAGTTTCACTATCATGTATTAAAAGAAGTAGATTTTTGTTCTCTTTTAAAAATAAATTTTGAATGGATTTGCCTTTAGAATATTATTTGTTGTTGTTGTTAAAAACTTGTTGACCAGATGTTATTTATCGCCGACTTTTCAGCTATCTAATTTCTTATTAGAATTTCTCATCTTCAGAATTTATTCAATAAAAAGGATCAGAAATTTTTTTGTTTCAACACATTTTAAATATGAAGGTTTCAAGCCAAAAAGAGGAATCACATACACCTCTTTCTCTTATTTTAAAAATTTAAAAGTTATTTTTGTTAATAATAATAATAAAGCCCTAAAGATGACAACAAATAACATCTGGTCTACAATTATTAAACAACAACAACAACAACAAGAAATAATATCGTATTACTATAATATTTTTAAAATTGCACTATTTAATAATTGATTTATTGGTCTTTTGCTGTTTTAGAATTTAGGGAATGTTTCTATCTCTTTGCACGAAGTGGACAAATTCGTACTCTGGATGAATTGACCATTATTATGAGATCGTTAGGTCTCAGTCCTACGATTGCTGAATTGAACAAATATTTAAAAGACAAAGGTATTAAATCATTATTAAAATTAAACTATAAATTTCTAAAAAAAGAAAATATTTTAATTTCTACAATGTTTATAGATTAAAGAAATCTTTTTCAAAAAGTAAAATTACTTATATTTATAGGAGGAAAAATGTCTTTTGCTGACTTTTTGGAAGTGGTGCACCTTCAGACAAGAGCAGAGGATCTTCCAAAAGAAGTAATAGAAGCTTTTCGAGCTGCAGATACTTCGAGAACTGGAACCATACCAGCTCGTCAATTGGCACATATGTTGCTTCGCTGGGGAGAACGTCTCAGCAGTAAAGAAGGTGCTTCTTCACTTCTTCAATCAGGTATTCTAATATTTACACCTTTTAAAAAAACAATCGTTTCTTTTTTTTAGTTGAACAAATTTTTCGAGAGGCTAATGTTTCTCTTAATGGACATGTTAAATACGAGGATTTCGTAAAAATTGCCTGTGCACCAGTACCTGATTACTATTAACAAAGAAAATATTTAAAACGGGTTTGGGTATTTTATCATTTATCTTACGTGACAGGTTTTGAAGAAAGGTACTTAAGCAGTGATAGGTGATAATTAAACATAATTATAAAAAGGAACATTTATTCAATCTAAAACTCAGCGATTTTTTCAGCTTCGGTACCTTTCTTGCAGAGTGCGTCACATATATTTATTCCTTACATTCCAGAGAAAAGATGTAAATTTAATAATTATTTAGTGAGGAAAAGGGAGTTTTTTTTATACTTTTCATAACTTTTCGGGAATATTTGTAGTCATTTCAATTAAATTTTATACCTTTCTACCGAATTGTTGACGTTCATCGATCAAAAAAAAGTATTAAACATTCCTCTGTAAACTGAGTTTACAAATATTGTTACATTTAGTAAATAAAACATGTTTTATTATATAAAGATGGAATTTTTAAAAATAATATTACTTTTAAAATGAATTATATTTAGCATTTATAAAAAGGGCATGATAATTCTATAATTAAATAAATTGTAAAGTATGTAATGACAATTTTAAGTGACTTAATGAGTACATATTGTTGAATATGAAAGTTTTAACTGTCTGTTACTGGCGATTCAGCACTTGGAGGAGCTCCGCAAAGAATAACGGCGGTGCTGATAATAGTTGTGAGAAAAAACAATCCCAGAAGCGCTCGATCGCTAACCAGAGCAACTCGTTTCCACTCCAATTCTGTTCTCTCTTTTCGATCCTGATCCATTAACCGTCTCTCATTCCTTTCAATTGTCCCGTGAACTTTACCGAGAACTCGAGACCAATGCGCTTCAAGACCACCATCTTTTCCAATACCTGTGGCTAATTAATATAATTATCACATTTTAATTAAGAGACGATAATTTTTATACTTTACAGAATCAATCATTTTTTACGTTCTACATTTTATTTTCAAATTTTATCTTTAATTTATATTACGAAAAATATAAATGGAACATTAATTAATAATGCAAAGGATCATTTAGGGTAAATGTAAACAATGAATAAATATTAATCATTTTTTTTTTAATGAATTCAATTGTTATTAAATTATATTTAATATGAATTTTAAACCTACAAATTTTCTAATCCCTAAATATTTTTATAGTTGAGGTAAGTTACTAAATGTCACTTATTATCGATATTCTAACTTGATGTAATGACAGAATGTGAATAAAAGCAAAAAATATGTTGAAAAAAATTTTGTATGAAATATAAACCTTCTTTATCATTTTGCCTAATTCTGAAAACAGGTGTTACGTTCACGTTTTTTATTGTAGTAGTGTAATTTTTTGGAATAATTGTTAATTTTTTGTTTTCATCAACAGTACACGATCTAAACTTTGTAATAACCTAAAAATTAGACACTAATTTTTTTTATTTATTTAAATAATATATTATGTCTTTCTGTCTTGTAACTTCGGGAGAGATGGCCATGCTATGTTAATGTTAAGCGAACACGCTGTTTCTCGTTACCAGCTCTCCTTAAATTCGTTAATTCTCTAAAGAAAACATTAAATCAATGAAAAATGACGTTTATTTTTATTACAATTATTGAAAATTCGATTCACTCTAATATTTGCCATCTTTGACTTGATGAAAATTATTCTGAATTTAATAACAAATGTTCTAAAATTGTTTTCAGAAGAAGAGAAAAGCACTATAAATGATTTTAAAGCAAAATCTGCGGTAAGTCAAAAAGCCAAAATTAAATTAAAGCATTGGCCATCTTACCTGTACATTTCGGAAGAGATGGCCAATTGTAGCTTTTTAAGATACATTAATTTTTAAATTGTTATTATTGCAATATTAAATTTTTTTTCAAAGTATAATGTTAATAAAAATTAATTACATGAACTGCTTTCATTTTATTTTTACGGACATTAAAAAAAAATATGGCCATCTATCCTGGACTTACCCTATAATATAAATAGCTATCTATCTGTATCTATCTATCTATCTATCTATCTATCTATCTATCTCTGCAAATTGATCAGAATAATTAATTTTAAATATCTAAATTATGTCCTATAATTAACTAAATTTCCTAGAGGTCAAGGGACCATTTTCCACCCAATCTTTTAAACTGTCATGTCAATATAACATGTCAATCATAGGATATTTTTAAACTTAGAGATCAGCAGAATATAATGAAAAAAGAGATATTCATAAAAATTCTTAAAGAGTAAAATAAACGAAATACTGAGGTTAACAATATAAACATTATACTTTTATAATTCTATTTTTTTTACAGAATTTTCAAAACAAAACAAATTATCTACATTTACCACAATTTTCTTAATTGAATCAAAGATTTTTCACTTTTATCAAATAGCCTGGCTGGTAAATATGCACATTTACCAATTCGTATTTTTACGGTAAAATACACACATGACATTTTCCTAAAAATGTGATTTTTTGATTTCTGATGACAAAAAGCGTAAAGATATGTAAAAAAAGGTTGAATTCGAAAGTTATTGGTATTACAAAATTATAATTTTAAGTTCGATTTCAAAAAGTTTATAAAATGTAATTAATTAGTAAAATATGTTAAACTAAATTAAAATTAAGTATGTCGAATTGACTAATTTTATAACATAAAATATTGAAAAACAACAACGTACCAAAATGAATATTTTCATTATTACTTCCATGTCTTCTTGTCATGAATTTAGGTGACAATTGTTGCTGAGAACTTTCGGTTTTACAGTGCAGAGGACAATTATTTTCTCTTCTTCGTATCGGTTCAATTAACTCCTGAAAAATGATTCAAATATTATTTTCTCCTATAAATGTTTTGTAATACGTTTAACAACAATTTAAAAATGATGATTCGCCGAAACTTACCTCCTTAAAATTAAGGAAAACCAGTCGAGAAAGTTTATTGAGAATAAGTGATTTAACAAAATTTGGTACTTTTGTCCCCCGAACACCACGATGATGCAAGTTTAAAGTCACCACAGCGAGCCCTGATGCAAACGATACTAGGCAGATACTTACTCCGTAATATAAACCTATAAACAAGTTAATAACTATAACAGTGATCTTACAATTCAATTTTTTTCATTTTTTTCTTATTTACTGTTACTGAATCTTTCAAATGGTAGGACTTTAGGAATCGCTTTTAGTATTTTCAGAAACACTAATAGAGATATTGGCATTATTTTATTAATTAGAATACTTTTAGAAATAGGACAAAATTTCTTTCTAATTAAAGTTTAAATAAGAAACAAGTTTTTCATACTGTTAAGAAAATGATTAAACTTTAGAATTCGTCTAATTTTTTAAATAAAAAAATGTTGTATTTTTTGAAAATAATATTTAAATTCTGTTTTCTTTAATGAGATGAAATTAATTTCTAAATGATTGTAGTTTTAATTCTTATATTGAATAAAAATGAGTAAATAACTATAGGTACCTAATAAATAAAAGTATTTGTCAAATTTTAAGTACATCAAAATTAATATATTCCATTTCCCGTGTTATAAGATTTTTAAATTGAGCTAAGCCTCATAATTAAATAAATCATGATATATTTAAAGCCTAGCTTTAAGCTCTGGATTTATCAGTTTTTACCCATTTGACCAGCGCAGCGACATAAAAACCAATATACACTCTTAGAACCATAAATATTTTACTTCGCAATAATGTTGTATATTTTTAATATTTTTATACATTTCTTATAAGCTAGATTTTAAAGGTATTTTTAAATACATAGGTAAAAAAAATCTTTCTGCTAAACACTTGACTGCCTTCTAAACACATAATTATAGAAAATAATGTTCTTTCAGTAAATGTATTAGAAATAGTCTACGTATTTTAAACTTATCTATATTATCATATAAAATACTTACTGATTAAAGGCGTCTTTTCTGTTGGTGGAAGGGTTTCGCGAATGGTCATTAGGAAAACTGTCATGGATAACAGCGCTGAAATTCCTAATGTGACTTTTTCTCCTGATTCAGATGGCACATAAAATACAAGTAAAGCTGAAAATAGAGATCAATATTATTTATTGAATATATCAATATAATTAATAGAAATAAAATTTAATTACCGCATTAATTTGAATTTTTTAAATTAATTGTTTTTGTAAATTAAATATTTCTACAGAAAAGTTGAAAGAAATTCAAACTTTTTAAACCATACAAAAAATTTGAATAATTGATTAGACCATTCGAGAAGAAAAAGAAAAGCTGTGTTATTGAATCCTTTCATTTCTTAACGAGGATACGAATTCATTCTTTACTTATCAGTCACAAAGTTAACAAAAAAATATCTTATTTTCGATAGTTAGGGGATTGATAGCAAAAATGCGTTATAGACATATTTAGAACAAAAGTTACTTAATTACGTTTTATCGAAAAAAAGCTGAAGAGCAAAAACGGGATATCATTCTATCCCACTTTTGCTCTTAGTCAAAATTTGTTTCGTTTTTTCCGGATTCAAAATTTCATTTTTTTTAATTTACTCTAAGATATATAAATTTATATATTTTGTCAAAAATTTCATAAGTTTACTCTCCTTAGAATTTATTATTTTTTAATTACGGTGCTCGAAGCATTAATATAATTTAAAAAAAATTTAATATTGCATTTTTATTATGGTGACTTAAAATACTCTTGTACTTTAATAATGTAAATTTAATATTTAAAACAATTTTATTTAATTACAAAAAATTCAATTAAAGAAAATCTAATAGCTGAATAATTATTTAGTCAATAAAAAAAATATTTTCCTAATATAGCTAAAAAAAATTTTTTGTTGAGGGTCAGTTGGGGTAAATGGGGACAAGAGGTTTTGGAGCTTAATTTACAGTTTTGAAATTAAGTTCAACGTCAATATTTTAACCTCAGATCACCTGCAAGAGATTTTGAGTATTGCCAAGCTTTTATCTTGACAATTGGCAACAAGATAAAAAAAGTTATCGCTCAATACATAAAAACTTGAAAATCAAAGTCAAACTGTTTCAGTATTTTGTCGAGCATTTCAAAGAAAACAGACTTAAAAATCATACAAAATTTTTTTCTTATTCCTTATGATTCCTATAACAGAAATTCAGTTGAATTTTTTATTTTTGTCAATTTGGTTAATAATGACAAGCTGTCCCCATTTACCCCAAAAATTTGAAAACTCAGGGTAAATAGGGACAGCTTGTTATTATTAACCAAATTAACAAAAATCAAAAATTCAAGTGAATTTCTGTTATGGGAGTCATAAGGAATAAGAAAAAAATTTGGTATGATTTTTAAGTCTGTTTTTTTCAAATGCGAGACAAAATACTGAAATAAAAAAAAATAAAAAAAATTTCAATTGGTTCAACTATTATATATCTACTACAAATTTTTTTCAAGTTTTTTCATCCCTTAATACAGTAATATACTTAAGGAAACTTTTTTCTTAAAACTTTCTTAGAAACTATGCTGTCCCCATTTACCCCAAATTTTATGAAATTTTCTAAATTTTGTGGTAAATGGGGACAGTCAGTTTCATGCGTTTAAAGCTTATCTAAATTTTTTTTTGCTGCATAAAATTAATCCTGAGAATGTAAATGTAAATAAGATATTTTGTACAGTGCTCAAAAATAGTATAAGAAATCGCTGTTATGTTTCAGAGTACTAATATTTTATCAAAAAATTTCATATTTGGGAAAAATTCAATATGGTGCCAATACGATTTTAGTCATTGCCACAAACATGCAATTTTTTATGAATAATTTTTTTGACAAAATATTAATATACTCTGGCACATGACAACCAACTCTTAAACTATTTTTGACTTTTCTACAAAATTTCAGCTCAATCTATCAAATATTTTGCGAAAAAACCTGCAGAGAATATTTACATGTGAAATCACATGACCTTAAGAAAACAAATGACAATATATTGAAGTTAAAAACCAGTTACAAAGTTAAATTGTTGGAAAAAAGGTTTTTAATTTTTAGATATATGTTATCACAATTTAATAAATTCTTTAAATTCAACCGGTTTACTTGAATTACGATGATAGGAATGCTTTAAATCTTAAATTAAACTTTTAATAATTTTTTATAAATTATTTAAAATTATTTATTTTGTGAAAATTTATTTGTTTGATTTGCTTTTTTGCATTATTCAAGGAGTAATAATTAAAAATATCAGAATTCTATTCTATTCGATATAATAATAATTTTTCCTGTAGTAAAATAATTTTCCTAATACCTATGACCCATGTATCCTCTGTAAGACATTAAAGGAATATTGAATATGTCATTTTTATGTTTATTTTATATAATATGGGTTAATATATTAAAAAATTAATTTTTTTCAATTTGTTTTTTTAATCTGATCATTCAGGATAAGAATTAAAAAAAAGTGTTATCATCACAAAAAAGATATTCATAATTAAAAAGTATTCTAAAAATAATCAAATATATTATATTAATGCAAGCGAAAATGGGACAAATTTTTAAGTCATTTTTTGCGCCCAATGAAATCTTATCCTGTTTTTGCTATGAAAAATTTTTATTTTATTTTTATTCATTGCGCCTTATTTGTTTAATTTTTCAAATAAAAACTACTTTGCTTCCGAGATTTTTTCAACGCGTTTTCACTATCAGCTCCTCAGTTGGATGATAAGTATTACTTTTCTAAGTTAGCGTTGAATTTTATTCCTAAATTGCGTCTTGTTGATAGTTTTTGATAAGATTAATTAATAGTTTGTTCTAAAAGTATATATTTTTGAATTCTTACCAATGCCATTAATGAGAATACAAGGGAGAATAAGATTGAAGACGTAGAATAATGGTCGACGACGTAATTTGATTTCATAGGTGATGTCCGGATAAGGCTCGGAGCAGCAGGAATAGTACTCGACGTTTCGTTTGGCGGAGAAATCAACGAGATCAAATTCCCCATTGGCTTGATAATTGCTCATGTCTCCTCTCTCGCTTTGTCGCTCCAGCTCGATCTGAAGAAATGTATGTTTACGATACATTCACATACGTATGTGGTAGTTGCTGGGGCAAGTGTTGCATTAATTAACATGTTCTATAGACAATTGATGCATTTAGCCATTCAATTATGGTCTCCCTATTGCCAGGAAATATTAATCCCTCGTATGAATTTATCAATCTATTAATAAAATTATTTCAAAATTTACAATGCCCAATAAACAATAAAATATTTTTCATTAAAATATATTCTACTGAGATTGAAAATGACAAGTACTATAAAAAATTTTTATTTTCAGTACAGTAGTAAAGTGCTGAATAGTTCCAATTTAAGAACAAGATTTGTATTTGGATTTGTCGGAGGTTTTAGTGTGCATTGACACAACGTTCGGGGTAAAGGAAAGTGGATCAGAGAATAGATTTCACGATGAAAAGGATAGCAAATGGGAAAGCGGTATGCACATTCAAGCTTTGGGTAGTAGGACATTGAATTTTTCCCGCATTCAGAATTAAGCTCTCTCGATCTACGCTCTATATTTTCAAGACTTGACTATTCGCGATTTCGATTTTCTGTTTCTAGCACTGAAATGACATTCCTCATATTCTTCACAATGAAATAAAATATAGCGAAAAAGAGAGAGGGAGAAGAATTGTAAATTTGATTTTACAACTTGGCTCTACTGCCGCAAGCTTAAATTAATCGCTATTATAAAGTCTTTCCTTTTAAATTCATATATTTCTCACTATAAAAGCATTATAAAATTGGAAAAATTTGAATCGCAAATAATGTTCATAAAAAAACTAATTTCGTCATTTATTATTATTACTTGCTTAAAAAAAATTAAAAATCTGATTTAAAAAAATGTACCAAATCGATGAAATTTTCTGGATCTCTAAGTTACTATAACTTATTGAAACCCTTTGAGGCTTTTTTATTTTCTCACAGCCAATTTTTGTATTGGTAAAAAAAATTCTGTTCGTTACAATAAATAAACTCACCATACATTCTCTGTCTGTATTAAAAATATTTTTAACGTGATTGTCTACTGTGAGTCATGTGAAGAAAAACCCCAAATCGCAGAGACAGGAATATAAATCAGTTTTTCTATTTAGACTTTGGTATATTACCTGATAGCCATCGTAAGTCCACGATGCCCATTTTAGAGCACATTTTTGCACGTCAAATGGAAAATATTCTACATCTATATCACAGCTACTCCGGAAAATACCGTGACTTAACCAGACCACCTCTCCTGTATGACTGACAATCACATTTGTATTTATCACTGCTGCATTATACTGTGGATCCGCACTGAAAACGCAGAAATAAAAGTTAGCTGAATAAAGTAAATAAACAAAAAATCATATCCAAATATAAGTTTTTAAACGCAGACTGTAGTAATTTGATTAAATTTAAAAGAGGATCTTTGAATAAATTTTAAAAAATACAGTAAAACTGAATTATCGTCACTTACTTATTGTATAAAATAATATCTGGTCTCCAAACTCGAGTGTATGGCATCCGGACTACACGAATTCCTGCGAATTCAGATACATTCCACTTTAAATGATGATCTGTCCAGGTTTGAGTTACCCAACAATTTGTCGTAAGAATTTGATTTTTTTCATCCTGTAAATCATTAAGTTGTTGCGATTAAAAAAAATATTATTTTCAAAAATAAAGTGTATAAAAATGATTATATATGATGTAATGATTTATTTTTCCGTAAAACTAGAGCAGAAATTAAAATGGCACCGTTGTAATTTGACGTTATTTTAATTTCTGCTCTAGTTTTGCTATAAAATAGAGCAAAAACGGCGCCATTTTAAAGTGGTTCTCCGGCTAATCAATTTTCTATGAATTTTTCTTAAACTTTGCAAAAATATTCATTTTTGTGTAATTTATAAGTGGTAAAAAACTCAGTACCTGCTCTATCCATGGTGATACATTTAATTTAATTTCTTAAAAAGTTTTCTATCAATTTTTTTTAAAAACTAGTATATTGTCTCTTTTTTTACGAAAAACTGGAGCAGAAATCAAATTGATTAATTACATTAATAATTAATATTTGAAATTTTGTTTGTTTTAAAACGAAGACAAAGGGGGATAAATTATTTTTACTAAATGCATTACAATGAAACGCAATTCGACTAAAAATAATTTAAACCTTTAAATCTGCATGGGATTCTTTGTGCTTCTTACAACTGAAGATTTTATTTTTATTCAAAAAAAAATCTAGTGTTGGTTAAATCAAAAGAGATTCTGAATAAATTGATCTAATCGAGTTTTCACGAGCGGAAAACAACTCGTTGGATTTATCGATTTCTGCTTACTGCTTTTTATATTTTCTTTAGATATTCCCTTTGAAAGTGTCTTCTTCTGATAAATTATTATCTTTAAACAGAGTTTTCGTAAACGTTTTAATACCTTTCACAATTGAATTTATTAGAGTGACCGCATTAATTTTCTTTTCAAAATTTATTATTGATTTCTCTCTGACTTACTTTCTGTTATTCTCTGATCGATATATACTTAAATTATTTTATTTACAATTTTATTAACTTTTAAGTTTATTATTTGGTATAAGATATTAATGACTTGAGTCTCAGTTTCATTTAATAAGTCAATATATTCTTTTAATAGTTAATTCTATAATTTGAATTAACATAAGTAGACGTTTCGACATTTCACGTATGTCATTTTCAATGAATCTGTAACATATTTATTTAATTATTATTAAATATTATATTATTTTAAGTTTATTGGTGCGAATAATAGTAATTTAACTAACTTGATAGTAGCAGTAAACTAATTAAATAGCAGCGACATATTTTACTAACTAAACATAAAATTTCCAATCAACTGTTTCTTTCAGTATATTTATTTTATTTATAAAATGAGCACCTCAATGTAAAATGTTAGTATTGAGCCACCTGTTGAACCTCTGTCAAGCCAAGTCTCATCAGTTAAGACAGGCGTTGTATAGAATTTTTGTATTCTTAATGTTCTGACAAGGTTTAGTATCAGCTTTAATATTCTAAGGCTTCTAAAGCCGCTGAATACGAATCTGCAGGCATATAAAAAAACTTAAAAATGTCCTGTATTCAGTATAATGGGCAAAATCTGACTGCACATTCGTATTCATTGCATCCCAATAAAATTCTAAAATAACACGTTTGAATTGAATTTAATAAAATGTTAAAAGATTACCAATTAAATGTAAAATTATTTATTGTAAAAATAAAAAATTAATAACAAATCAAATTGACCGTACACGAAAACTTTTTTAATTTTTAAAAGAAGAGTGCCGTGAAATGAAGTTTATGTTTATGAAGCAACAATGATTTAATGTGATTATAATTGAGGAGCAATTTTTCAAAACAAGATGATGAAAAAATTATAATTTTCATAATTATTTAAAAATATTTATAAGAATACATATATATAAATATAATACTTGATAAAAAGTTTCAATCGCTAAAACAGATAAAGCTTCGAAATGTATGATAAATTAAAATTTCATATATTTAAAAAAGATTACATATTTTTATTTTTAATTGAAGAAGAAGATAAATACAAAGGTTCCTTTTATTAAAAAAAAGTAAAAATTATTTTTATCGACTTACGACGTCAATGATGTGGTGAAGGGACACTCCGAAGACGACCACTAAAGGTTGAGAGGAATTTTTAGCTGGACGGACACCAGCATCGTAACTATCCATTAAATATCTAGTCAACCTGTATTCATTTTCATCACACAACCCTAAAACAAAGTAGTGTTTTTATGTATATAAAGTAAAATTCACAGTAAAATTTTATAATGAATAATTTTCAAAACAACTAAATAAATAGATTTTCATTTCACTTTTTGAGAATTAAAATAAAATCATTGAAAGAAAAGTTGGAAATTGCATAAAAAAAAGTTTTAAACCATTTTTACTGGTTCTATTTGCTAAACTTTTTCTGTTCGTGTTGAAGCAATTTTTTCAACTCGTATTTCAACTATTTGTCCCGGTCTTTTTTTGTTCAATGTTTTTCAATGTGTTAGGAATTTTTTTAAATTCTATTTCGATATAGTCAGATAGGTAGAGAATTACGAGCCGAAAGACCCTAAATGGCGTTTATCGAATCATCTCCCTCGTTGGACTTCTCTTTTTCCTCTTTTCAAACGACGTATATTTCACATATATAGATATGTTTTGATGAAAGAACATCGATAAAGTTACATGTATCTGATAAAGTACTCGAAAACGTCACTTCTTTCGACAACCATTACTTATTTATACACATTTCATTCATTTTTTTACATATATATTTGCTTAAAGTTTAAATACTTGCCGAAATATTAATGCGAAAAATTATATTGCAAAAAAAGTAACAATGACGTATCCTTGTGAAGGTAAGTACAAATTCAATTATCTTAAGGGGTTACACCACTTTGACCGCATGAAAAAATACGCGTTTTCAAGAATTTTTTTTGAAGAACAGAATTTTTTTTACTAAAATTCAAATACATAACGTTATTATGCTACTAATATTAAACTCTAAAAAAAATATTTAAAAAATTTTTTTTTTTCAAATTGCCTGTTTGGCAGGTGATTTAGCGGAGCGCTTCAAAAATCAATGGTCCTGCGGTGGCCCAGATAACTCACTCCAGATTTGAGCTAAAATAAAAAACCAAAAAGCATTAGTTTCTGTAGCCCAAAATCTAGAGAAATACGTAGCCGTTTTTAAAAATATGCATTTTTGACAAAATGGCGTCGATTTGAATGAAAATATACGTCTTTTGGACTAAATTTCGTTATTTAAAGATGTCCAGAAATTGTAAATATTAATATTTCGAAAAATCCCTACGTATTTCTCTAGATTTTGGGCTAATGCTTTTTGGTTTTTTATTTTAGCTCGAATCTGGAGTGAGTTATCTGGGCCACCGCAGGACCATTGATTTTTGAAGCGCTCCGCTAAATCACCTGCCAATAAACAGGCAATTTGAAAAAAAAAATTTTTAAATATTTTTTTTAGAGTTTAATAGTAACATAATCACGCGTTATTTATTTGAATTTCAGTAAAAAAATTTCCGTTCTTCAAACAAAATTCTTGAAAACGCGTATTTTTTCATGCGGTCAAAGTGACCCTTAAATTTTATATCACTTACTGTATAACATGATCTTCGTGTAAATAAATAATAACAAATTTATAATTATTTTATTTAATTTAATATACATGGGGATTCCTGGTGAAGTGATCAAGGTAAAAAAAATTCTCCGATTTCGACAAGACTCTTTAAAATACTAAACATCTATATAAGAACAATTGATAATTAACCTTTTTTGCTTTTTTCGATCATTTTTGGCTATTTTTGATCATTTTTTACTATATAAAAAAAATCGTATCATTTCACCCTGAAAAAGTTAAACCTATTTTCAAGTTTCATTTTTTTTTGGTCAAAATTTTTTTTTTTTAAATATATATTATCAATTGAAAGAGCATCAAAAAAGCTTTTGAAACTGATATTAATAAAATTTCTTTTTGAAACTCTTAAAAGACACATGAAATTCTATTTCAAGGATGAAACATTAAACTTGAAGCAATTAGGGGTACAAGACAACCCCTATAATGTGATTGACTGACACGTATGTCGGAACAGCAGTCTAAGTATGCACTCGAAATTAAAGGAAAACTTGGTGAGGGTGAAAACATTGTTTGCGTATATTTTATATTCCTGAAAACTATACTGTTGTACGATGGAAAAACTTAGTTAAGTCATAGTATGACTTAACTAAGTTTTTCCATCGTACGGCAGTATACTTTTGTTGTTAAAATTCCCTTTAATAATTTCTTTCAATAATAGATAAGAGTATATTGTATCTAGTAGTACATATTCTATTACACAGGTTTACAAGATTCTTTTTTTTGAGAGTGGTTTCCAATGTATTTTTGTGTCCTGAACACAGTCAGGACATCAAAAAACGATTTTCAGTATTTTTTTCACCTTAACCTGAAGTAATAGATACTTCTATAGGCTAAAATTAAAGCTTACATCGTACACTTTATATATATATCGAGGGGGAATTTACTCAGGTAGTCAAGTGTACACTCTTCCTGTAATACTTGTGTAATATCGTGTAATAATGCGTTATTACGGTACTGTAATAACCCAAAGAGTCTGTAATATCTCTGTAATAATGTGTAATACTCTGTAATAACGTGTAATACTTAGTAATAAGGGTAATATGAGGTGTATTACTGGTAGTCAAAGTGTACACGTTTTTAACTAGTAAATTCCCCCTCGATATATATATATATATATATAGAAGTCGCTAGCACGTCAGGTTAAAGAGAAAAAATACTGAAAACTCTCAAACACACATTTTCTGGTGTCTGTATCTCAATTTTTTTCAAAAATTTTTTCATCTTGCTCATATTGTGTCTTCAAGTGTACCGTTTAAGCTTTAATTTAAGCTTATGTAGAAGTGTGTCTAACACATTGGGTTAAAGAGAAAAAAAATAATGAAAACCCTCAAAAATATGGTTTTTGGAGACTTTAACCCCACTTTACTCAAAATCCTGACGTGATACGCAGTTTTGGATATGCGTGATACACAAAAATAAATTGGAAAACGCACTGTGATATCTAAAAAAAAGTCCTATTTTGTTGACCTGTGTTATTTATCGCATAGTCTTCACCTATATATAGATAAAAATTTAAATCAAAATCTGTTTTGGGCAGAAGGATGGATCGTTTTTAATAAACGTAGGTATTTACATTAATTAGATTTTAGTTTACTCTTTCAACAAGATCGTTCCTTTCCCTCTCAAGTGTAACATTTATATCTCAAATCACCACTTGAAAATTTAGTCCAGAGTAAAGTCATTTACATAATCTCCTTCTATTAAAATTGCAATTTATGAAATTGAAAACTTCATATAGGTATTCATATGTGTCAGTGATAACTTATTTCAAAAAACTATCTTTAATTAATAAATTAATTTCAGCTGAGTCAGTCCAGAGTGAAAATCATCTGAGGATGATTGATGTCATATTTTAAAAAATCTATAGTTATAATAAATGAAAAACTCAATGAATTACATTCTCATCATAATGAGAATAAGGTATTACATTTCGGCGATTTTGAGCCTTCTTCAATACCAGTAAATCTCCACGTTTTGAAACTTTCTGAACCAAAAAAAATAGGTTTCACGAAAATGTTTGTCTGTATGTATATATATGTATGTATGTATGTATGTCTGTAAACAAATTTTGTCCGACGATAACTCGAACAAATTTTAATGAATCGACTTCAAATTTGGTATACATTTTAAGTATACCGAAATTTCGCCTGAGTTCGTTGACCAGATGATTTCGTCAAAAACAACAAAATTTAAAAAAAAAAGACAAAAACGGATGAAAAATGGTAAAATGCAGGGCAAAATTACTTTATTTTGAAAAAACATGTGCAACTATGTATTATATTTCTGTTCAAACCACTTTAAATTAACACAAATAACAGTAACTTACTATAATAAATTTACGATTTTTTTTATAATTTCAACAATTATTTTACATTTCTAACATTGCAATTGTTTTCGAAAAATCCACTAATCTAAAATAGTTCATATTTTACTTGTTGTATCAGAATTACGTAAGTTTTCGATTAGTATGTACCGAATTGAGATAACTTTATTTATTTGTTGAATATTTTTTTTTATTTACATTAATCAATTGATGGTCTCCATCAAATTACTTAACCAAGCCTTAGACGGTAGTTCTATACTGCCGTACGATGTAAAAACTTAGTTAAGTCATATTTTTGACAAAAATGAGTTTTTGGTATCAATGGATTCGTAAGAAAAAACTGCGTCTGATTACGTTATTAAAAATTTTTTATTTTAATTATTTATTGCAAAAAATAGTTGTTAAAAATCTACAAAAACCCAGAAAATGAAAGAATACTTTATAAAAACTCAGTTAACTCGAGTTGAGTAGTCCAAAAATCGTAGGAAGCGTTGAGATCGAGCATAAGATACGAAATAAAAAATTAGTTAACTCGACTTGAGTGTTTTCTCTTTCGAAAAGTGGTATGAGCCGGACACTGCATTTCGATGGGAGCAAGCGTAAGTCAACTTCGTTAAAGTTCGGATTTTCGTCGGGTGAATTCGGAATCCCATGCATTTAGCTTGAGTTAACTAATTGTAAGTTCTTACTTCTGAACGAAGGCTCGCGCTCGCCTACCTTTTCGAAAAGCACTACGTAACTCGAGTTAACCAAGTTTTGCTTTTAAAAAATAAAACGTAAGTCAATTATTTAATATAATTTGTTTAAATAATTAACTTTTGACTTCAGAATTAAAAAGAACTCTATCAAATTACCTAGGAAGTGAAGTTAGATTAAAGAATTATTTATATTACATTAGGTTTTTAAATACAAACAGTTTTTCGTCATTTTCTCCGTATGAACAAAATATGACTTAACTAAGTTTCTATTTCGCACGGCAGTATAATGATAATAAAAACCGTTGAAAAGTGAAAAAAATAAAAGTTGAAAATTAACTTGTTTACATTCCCATTTTAGTCTGTTAAAATTGTACACTCTTCCACTCTAAAGTAATCAACTTTTAAAATTTTTTAATGAACCCTTTTCTTTTGCTATTGCATTTTTCTAATTTTCGAGCGTGAAATGCGAGTGCTGTGATGAGAATGTTATCCTTAAAGTCAAAGTACTTTAAGAAAATGAAAATTAATTTTGCAAAACCAAAAATTTCA